CCCCCCCCCCCCCCCCCCCCCATTTAACAACGTGAATTTTTCGATGGCAACCGCCATCAGGAAAGGAAGGCACGCAGCAGCTGGTGGAAGCGGGCGCGGCGTGCGTGGCCGCCAGGTCGCTCCTGTCGTCCGCCGCGAAATATCTCCTTGCCAACCTGTCCCCCACCGAAGGTAGCCCGCTGCTGCCCGAGACCTTCGCGAAGGCTACCAGCAACAACCAACGCAGCGGCGGCGGCGGCGGCGACGGCGGCAACGACTATGGCAGCCGCGGAGCACGACGAAGCCACGCCGACGCGGACAGCAGGGATACCGGAGGCGTAGTCGACCTCAACGCGGGGGAGGCATCAGGCCCGGGGTCCTCCTCTCTTCTCTCCGATCTCGTCTGGCGCTACCTTGAGCTCGGAGCAAGAGGCAGGGTTTGTGTCGCCGCGCTCCGCCGGACCGCGCGACAGTTAGCTGGAAGTGGCGGCGGCGGGGGTAAGGGCGGTGGTTCGGCGGGGGTTAGGGGCTCGGCCGCCTCGACGGAGGGGGAGGGGGAGGAGGAGAGAGCGGCGACGCGGCTTGAGGAAGGGCTGAGCCTGGGTGAGGACACTCGTGTATGCCCGCGCGGCATGTGGGGGGGGGGGTCACGGAGCCTTGCGGAGAGCTGAATATAAAGTCGAGACTGTACCGTGGGACTCCGTTTTCGCTAGGTCGTTCTGGGCGACAGACTGGAGGCGTGGTTGCATCTATTGGACAATCCAATACCAACAGGGGTGTAACGTCGTATTTTTATCTGCTGGCGCTGTTTATTCATGTGCGACAGTAGAAATTTATTCCGGGCGGCGGCAGGTGGGATGCCGCCTCTTGTGGTGTAGCAGGTATGTTTAGGTCCGACGGTTAGAACGACACGAAGTTACCGGTTTCTCGTGGATTGCTTCTCGTTCTCGGTCATGGGAGATGACGACCTTCGTGCTCTGAGAAGGGCGGGGGAACATCTGTCGGGTCTTGGTTCCTAGGTTCACTTAGTTCTGTCGCTCGTTCTTCGTCTCGTCTTACCACTTCACGCAACATCATCGCTACCCTTTTCCCCGCACGCCATGTCATGTCACGCTCGTACGACCTAAAAAAACAACCCATCAAGAGTTGATGCCTCTGGAGTGCCTGTGCCGCCTCGTCAACGCCGACGTGGAGAACCACCAAACCGCCACCTCAACATCACCAACGACGGCATCGTCACCCCGAGGCGGGGAAGAAACGTGGAGCACCAGCAACGGCCGCTACGTCGAGAAGAATGACGGAAGATGCCGGTCAGCAGAGGACACAGCGATGACAACCCCCACGACAGCAATGGGGAGTCTCATGGACGGCGTGAAGACACCTTCTGTCGTGCTCGTGGCGTACGTGGAGCTGCTGAGGACGCTTGTCACACGCCTCGAAAGCGGCGGTGCTCGTGGGGGGGGGGCGGGCGGTGGGGGGCCCGCGGGGGTGGTGCTGGGGGTGCGGGCGCTAGACCTAGAGACGCTGTTTCGGTGAGATTTGGAGGTCTATCGTGTTGTGAGGGTCACCTCCCTCCCTCCCTCCTTCTCTCTTCTCTCTCTCTCTCTCTCTCTCCCTCTCCCTCTCTCCCTCTTCCATGTATTGCTGGACTGCGAGTTGCACGCGTAGCCTGTCCGTTTCCGTGCCGTGAGAGAGCGATAGCTGTGTGCCGCTTCGAAAAGGATGTCTAGAATGGGTTGACCTACAGTTGTCACGAGCGACCGAGAGAGAGAGAAGGAGAGAGAGAGAGAGAGAGAGCTTCTTGTTGCGCGGCTTTCGGCGGTGTATCGACCAGAGGCCGAGCGTGTTTTGTTAGGGCTACAACGGCGGTGAGGTTATATCATATCGAAACTTTCTTGTTCCTTCTCGTTATCCAGGCCGGGTAGATTTTTCACCCTCACGACATTCAAATAACGTACCAGTACGTCCATTTGATACTCGCCGCCCGCGCCTTCCTCACACCCCGCTTGCGCTGTCGCCGTTTGTTAGATAGCGCCGCACCGTGTTTTCCCTCTAACCCTACCGTTTCCGATGCGGTCTTCCTCCTCTACAGCGGGACTGTCAAGTGCAGCAAGGCTCTGCCAATCCTGCGCAAGGCGCAGGCGACCTCCAAGACCGCCCTCCTCGCCAAGTTCACCCCTCAGAAGCGACGACGAGAAAGCTTCGCCGCGTTACAGAACAAGCAGAAGATATCGGTGTCTGCGCGGCGACGGAACGGTCGCAACAGCGGCGGCGGCGGTGGGCGGGCGGCGGCGGCAGCGAGCGCAGAGACAACCAAGCGCCGAACCCGCTCCATTGACGCCTCCCGCGGCGGGGGGTCTAGGGGCACCGCGCGATGGCTCGGCGGCGACAGTGTGAGGAGGCGGGTGGATAGAGGGGTTATCGGTGGGCTTCGAGGGGTCATGGAGGGCGGAGACAGCGACAGTGACGATGAGGAGAAGGAGGAGGAAGAGGATGAAGTGGTTTTCTCGGACGAAGAGTCTAGGGATTCTGAGTGGAATTCTTCGGAGACGGGTGAGGGGGGGTGAGGGCGAGAGGCATGCCCGGCGGTTTGAACACTTCTCAAGCACCTCAATTCTGTTCGTGTCAACAACAGGACTCTGTGTCTTCCCATCACTCTGTTGAACAATCTTCAGGACTTCTAGCGCGCTTTCGGTCAGTCTCCCCAAGCCCTCAGGCTCGCATGATGCCAACATAATTACTCTACAAGTACGCAGCGAACGAGTTCTCGCGTATTAAATACTGCAAGAGTAATATTCTAGCACTACAGTTCATCATAGAATGATATTTTTTTCATCACACAAGAGTAGATACAGCCTTGCCTCCAACCCTTTTCGCTCCTCCTCTCCTCATCACAAGCAGACGACACTTCCGAAGACGAAGACAGCTCGAGCGACGAATCGGACCAGGAGGCAGAGGACGAACCCCGTTACCCCCGCGCCTCCACCCCCAAGGGTAAGAGAAGAGCGGCGGCGGCGGCGGCGGCGGCAAGGACATCCAAGAAGACGGGGGCGGGGGGTCCATGGAGCGAGACACCCGCTGGCGCCCGCAGGGCCGGCGGCGCGAGCTCTTCCGTCGCCGCTGGCGGCAGCAGGACAGCGGACGTCGAGGCCAACCCTTGGAAGGGCCTGCCCGGGCTGAGCCTTTGTCAGTTCTGGCGGTACAGGCTGTTGCTGGAGGTGGTGCTGGCGGCGAGAGGGGGTGACGGCGGTGGGGATGAGCGCAGCGACGGTGGGGGGTGGGCCGAGCTCCCCCGGACGGAGTTTGTGGAGGTGAGAGGCAGCAACGGCATTGGGCGTGGGAGATTTTGGAGCGGGGGGATTGTTTTGCATGCCTCAGATGTTAGTTAGACGATGGACCAGGGAAGGGTTGTCGTTTGTGTACGTAGATATTGTGCGCCATGGCTACCAAAAGAAGCCGCTCGTGGAAAAATGAAAACTCCTATCGAGATAACTAGAAACTGTTCTGTAACGCACCAAAATCCATCCCATCCAATTTCTACATAGGATGCATGGAAGGAAGTCGCTGGCTGGTGTACGCTAGACCTTCGTGCTTGACTTGTTGGCTGGCGCGGCCGCTTTCTCGATTTCTACTTTAGGTCATGAAGCAGCTTGCCGCGGCTACCTCTTCCCGTCCGGCCTCGACCGCCGCCATCAACGAGAGCGGCGGCGGCGGCGGCGATGACCTTTACGATGCCGAGGACGCGGTATTCTCGGAGCTGTCCGAACAGCACGACAAGGCGGAAGACGGACTCTTGGCAGGTGCGCTCCAAGAGTATGTACAGAGCGCACCGCTTGATTGACCCGTTTGTCTCTTGCCAGTAGGTCTCGCCGCACGGCAAGTAGTACTGTAGTAATCTTGGTCTCAACGACCGATGTCCGTGGCGTGTCGTGAATGATTTGGTCCGACCTGTTATCTAGTTTTTCGGACGTTTTCTATTTTCGAATCGGCGAGGCTGGGTGGGTTAAGCACGGGCGGGCCCAGCATTTTTTTTTCTTTCTCTCCTGTGGGTCCACGGCTGCAACAGCAACCGTTAAGTCGGTGTTTCGCGTTCACGCTTTCATGGTACCGGGTCAAGTCCTGTAGAGTGCAGGTGCAGTACGACGAGGATTTTTCTGCCGATTTGTTACCGCCGTGGAGTCAAAGCCGCGATGAAGGACGAGGCTTTGTTGTCTTGTCTTCTGGAGGGTTGGGCACCGCACAACACATGAGTGTTCGTGCCAGTGATGAGACGTGTGTTAAGGATCGATCGTGAAAACAGGTGTTTGTTGCAAGCGCTCATAGGTTCAGAACAATCGTGAGAGGCAAGCCTGTGCCCAGCCGAATTGGCTCGCCTCTTGGGCGAAAAGTGTTGCGGCAGTCTTCATTTTTTTGTCAGTTCAGTCGACGGCTTTTGCTCATGTCGGGACAGCAACTGCGGCGACATTCCCAAAACCGCCCGATCTTACTCTACCAACCTGCCTCCGGCCCACATTCGTTGGTTCGTCCAAATCGGAAATCTCCGCTTGCGTTCTTCGGAGATTTCGGAGATTTCCGGTCATATTCTAGCAATAGCTTCTCGGAACACGAAACGCCAATCTCTACCACCACTTGTCACCCATCACACCGAACCACATCATACCGAACCAACGTTTGTCAGCATGCACAATCTGCATAGCGTACTTCCTATTTCAAACACGGGCTCCCTCGACGCCGCCGTCCCCGACACGGAATCGCAGGCATGGTGGTGGAGGTGCTGGCCGCGCTGTCCGCGGGACTCCCGAGGTCGGAAGAGGCGGCCGTGCTGTCGTGGAAGGGGCTGCGTGCGGTGTATCCCCGGGGTTACGGTGCCGGCTACTCGCACGTCGGAGGGGTCGTTGGGGGCCTTCGAAGGTATCAAATCAACACTTGGAGACGATCTTTTGAGCGTTTCTAGTCTAGATGGATGGAAGCGTGTCGTTTTATTTTTTGTTATTGGCGCAGTTTCAAAGGCGCGTGGAGCATGAGAATGCCCAGCCTGGTCCTATTGTCTGTTTTTGGTTCATGGCGAGGGTGTTTGTTTGTTTGCCGCACGGCGGTCATGACGGCTTCTGCTTCGGCATTCGAGCGTGGCAGCGGCCGCGCTGAGCACCTAGTTCGGAGCCATGTCGGACGTTCGCATGGGCTGAAACAGAGGCAGTCTTCAATAATATTGTCTTAACCTTATGTTAATCCCTTGCTCTCTAGGCAACATGAGACGAGCACTAGGCACCTGACAGCTCGGATTGAAGATTGATTCACATCGTCCATCCTAATTAATCCCCTTGCTCCCCCTCCCGCGCGCCGCCTTGTTTTTTTTTGTTCCTTTTTTTCTCGCAGGCAGGGAGCGTCCCTGCTGTCGTCCCCTGTCTCTCTGCGATTCTTCCTCCACCTCCACCGCTACGGCGGTACCACCAGGTGTGCTTCTCTTTTCAGTTTGTTTGGGCGTTCTCGAGCGTCGTGTGCGGGTCGGCGGCGGCGGCGGGAGTGTTCTAAGCTCTGTCAGCCATAAGGGCGCTCCTGCGGCACCCGAAGGCCCGAGAGGTGGTTTGTTGTAATCGGTCTGCCGTACACGCCCGCGGTGCGCGTTTGAGAGCTTACCCCACGTCTGTGGGCAAGACTCCCGCCCGCCTGTTTCACACCGTTACCACTGTTTGGGCCTGCCTGTGGGTGTACGGCGTGGTGATGGCCTGACACGAACGGGCTCCGCGAGGTACACACCTCGCGCCATCCTCCCTGAACAACCGTCGCCCCCCCTCCCCAATCGAACCCCATGTCTTGCACCCCCCCCCCCCTTTCCCTCGTAGTCGTCTCCGGGGACAGCTGCAGTTTCCCTCGCACATGGGAAACGCCTCCGCGATGCTCTCGAGGACCGGTTTGCCCGCCCTACCGTTCCTGCAGCACGCGCTCCTGACGCACTGGGCGCTGTCCGGAAGGATGGGGAGGGCGTGGGGTCTAGCAGCTGCCGTGGTCGACATGGAGGCGTTCGTGCTGGGGAAGACGGGTAGGTCCGTCGATAGGTCAGATTTTCGCCTCGCCTTTTCTTTTATCTTTTGTATTCATCCGTGTTTCTCTACATAGCTGGCCAAAGGTTGAGGTTGGCTGTGATTTCCGAACCGTATCACCACGGGTCCATCTTTGACCATGGGACAATCTGTGACCCATGGATCACCTCTCCACCACTGGCTGCCGCACGCCTAAGTTGACAAGCAGCTCGGCTTGCACACGGGTGTGCGCGTGCGGCTCAGCGTACTATCCCCCTCTCCCCAAGCCGTAAGGTATTTTGAATAGCCCTCCGCGCGCCCTTCCTTCACCCTCCTCCCCCGCCTCTGCAGGTCCAACCTGCAAGGGCAGCGAGGATTCTGCCTCCAGACAACAGTCATCGTCAGCCAGACACAAGGCGACGCCCTCCTCTTCCTCTTGGTCGTCATCGCCGCCCACGCTGACGCCGACGCCCGTCCTCTCCCAGGAGAACTTGGACGTCTTCATCACCGCCGTGGTGAAGCTGTTGCCGGCAAGCCTCGCCCTGGCCTCGCCGCAAAAACCATCGGCGGAACCCCCAGGAACAAGTGTCCAAGGTGGCGCGACACGTAACGATGTGACGGGTAGCGGAGTCGTGTACACCGAAAGTGGATCCAGAGTAAGGGGGCCCATCCCCGGGGTTTCCAGCAGCCCTTACGAGGAGCTGGAGTGCCTCGGCATGGTGCTGGAGTGCCTGGTGGAAGCGTGCATCGAGAGCCTGTACAACGGGGCGTGGTGAGTGAAAGGATGAGGATCAGGATCCCTCTTTGCAGGGGTCGTTTCTTGGCCTTGCCTTCCTGCTGGCCTTGTCTTTGCGACGGCGGTCTGTTTTGTCCCCCACGGGTGCATGGTGTCGTACGCCTTTTGACTCTGTCGACCTCCCCGTCCGTCAATAGTTAAGTGTCGGTTAGACACAAAGTGTCCGGACGTCCGGATGGGACGCGCATGACCACTATGCTTTTTGGTTCCTGTGGCGTGTCGGGTGTTCGTCCAATGCGTTGTTGTTTCTCAGATCTAGAACTACCTATGGTCTATGCAGATCGTGGTCAAAATGTTGCTCTTTCTGTTTTTTGGAGAGAGATACGGGAGTCTGTCGTCGTAGCTCGCACTGACTGTTGTCGTTGTCTTCTTCAGAGCATGCTGGTAGAGTGGCAAACACGCTATTTACAACCGATACCTCCTTCGTTTATGGCAGAAACCACGCCCCCCCCCCCCCTCGGACTCACTCGCCGCCGGGTGCACCTACTGATGGCCTTGCGATGTTCCACTTGGTCTTTTCGTGGGTCGTTGGCGGAACAGGAACTCATCTGCGGGAGCGGAAGAGCTAACAGCACTAGGCAGGCTGCTGCGGCGGTGCGTGCTGCCCGTGGCCTTGTGCTGCTCCAAGACCCTCAGGTAACGTACATGGTTTAGCCTCTTCTACTTCAGGTTGTTCATTTGTGTTCGTGTTGGTGTTTGTGGTTGTTTAGCAACCGATGTCAAACCACTATTAGCCCAGTCAGCGTCACACCATGTGAACAGACAACATGAAACCATTACACCTGTCAGCATCAAACCATTTGACCAGACAACATCGTCAGCACTGACTGGTCGAATGGTTTTATTTGGGTTGCTAAAGGCTGCAGGCGGAGGTTTTGTCGCCCTGTAGTAGGTCACTCCTCTGCGCGGCACGCATTCTCTGGGTACATACGACGGCACACACGGAGCTTTCTTTCCGGAGCTTTCTGGCATGAGCTGCACTGTATTTTCCTAACGCCTCCTTCGCTCCGTCCTTGATGGATGGAGGGCTTGCTGCTTTGCCCCCCAGGTCTTCGTATGAAGGCCGAAGAAACGCGTCGAGAATGTTCATGACGCCATGGCGCAGCTACATGTAGGATGCCTGGTAGTGAATGGGGCCGCCGGTCCTTCCCAAAATCATGCACAATAGCCCTACACTCCAATGTATCCACACACGAAATATGTTTCGTGTTCCATGTTTTTTTATCCCGCTACAAGACCTGCGTCTTTTTAATTCGTGTGCCGGTTAGCGCAGTCGATGCTAATTCGAAAACACACGAAACGTTGGCTTTTTAGGGCGCTAGAGAGCCAACTGGAGCGAGCTCTCGCCTGGAGGTGTTCCCAAACGTTGGACGTGAATGGCGTGCGGGATAGGGGAAAGAGTGCTGCTGTCCCCGGCGGTTCAACCGAGGGGGTGGACTTTGGTGCGGCGAGGCTGTGCAGAGGGCTGCTGGAGCAATGCGATCTGTGTGCCGACGCCGTCAGGACGCTTGGCACGGCGGTGAGCCTGGCAGCGAAAGCGTGTGCTACAGCAAGTGGGCGCGGTGCAAGTGCCGCGTACATAGCATGGGCGCGGCTGAATTTGGCGACACGTGTGTTGGAATTTCAACCTATTTCGACCGTAGTTTTCGTCCCTCTCCGCTTCCATTACCTGGTGGCGGAGTGTTTGTTTTTTGTTTGGCGACATGCGACGTGGTTTCGATCTCAACACGTTGAAACTTTACTCTCGTCTGTCTTTCCCCCCCCCTTCCCGCTTTAGGTTCGCTCTGCGACTTTTCCTGAAGAGAAAGACGGGGGTGCAGACGCCCCCTCTGCCCTGAGACCCCACCGGACCGTTCGAGACCGCATCGTCAAGGTGACCGTAGAAACAGCAGCATACGGAGGTCCTGATTTATGCTGTCGCACGTGATGGCCACACCGTAGACTCCCTGCTGCGTGCCCCCCTCCCGCCATTGGTTCGTCGGGCGTGCATGCCCATCTGTTAGCGATGTCGCTGGCTTTATCCCGCCCTCTCTCTCCCCTTTTTCCACTCGCGTCCTCACTCTACATGCCGTGGCATGTCCGCCCACGAAAATTACCAGATCCTTCCCGGCGCGGTGTTGCAGAGCGATCAGCTCTCCGCCGCGGTGGATCACGCTCGCGGGGTGCTGCAGCTGCCGCGGAAGGCCGGGCGAGACGACGACGACGACGGGATAACCGGGGACAAAGACGAAGCGTCCCCTGGTCACAAGCTTCCCAGGCCGACGTCGAAAACCTCTAGTAGGAGAGGAGCGTCCGAGCGCCTCTTGTCGCGATGTGCTGCTGCTGCTGCTGCTGGCGGCGGCGAGGGGCAAGGAGGAGAGGTTGGGGGGATGGTAGCGGATACCCGGAGGGGAGGCGTCGTGAGAGGGAAGTTGGGAGGAATGAGGTTGTTGAGCCTTGGCGCAGAGCTGAGGGTGTCCTGGGCTGGAGTCGAGCCGTCCAACAAAGACGGGGGTCGCAGGTGAGCACGGCTAGAGCGGCACCTTAAGCGGGATGCTTCCCACCCACCCCCCAGTCTACGAGGACCGGTGTTGCAAGACAAGAGAAAGCAGGAAGTTAAAAGCATGATGTCACAACGGTGGTTCGGTGTGGCTTGGATAAGCATACTCCAGAGTAACTCGTGGTCATCCGTTGTTGGAGTTTTAATTGCCCAGCATCTCTCCCAACTTTCTGGCGATTCTGACTTCGTTTCCTAGGCTTGGAACCCCCGCCAGCAGAGAACAAGTGCTGCTGTAGAGCAAGCTTGGAGGTAGTCAGGCCTTTGCCCCTACCCCTCTGGCCACGAGCGTGTCGTCGCTTGAAACCGGACAAGGAAAGTCTCGCTATCCTGTACTCCTATTTTGCAACATGGCGACGATGCATCCAACGGTCACGATCAAGGCTGCACCCAGTGCATAGTTTAGGCACGCGTCTTTGTACCATTGCGGTACATACGTGGTGGCACACTTTGCTTGATTGAGTGAACGGATGCCCCCCCTCCCCCCGCCGCGCGTCCTGTAATTTTGCCGATTTTTTTTCGCGACCGTTCGTTTTACGACGCTCCTTCCTCCAACACCCGAACGCCCTTCTCCCGCCTAGCAGAGAGGCAAGCACGCCATTTGCAGCAGCAGCACCGACGCTCGCTGCGCAATCATCGCGCCCGGCACCTTCGACTCTCCGTACTGCAGACTCGGTAGAATGGCGGCGGCGACAGCAGGGGCAGCCCCACGGTGAGTCTCCCAACACAGCGACGAGCGGAGAGGCAGCCCAAGCCGTCACTCAAGGCGAAATTTTCGCCGGCACCAAGGTTAACGCCGTTGAGCCTTCTTCGTGGGTAGAAGAAGCGGCGGAAGGCGGTAGCAGTGCGGTAGAGAGAGCCGGTAGCGGTGGGGTGGGGCGGGGTCCGTCCTTTTTTCCGCGGGATGGCGCCGGAGGAAGCAGCAGCGGGAGGCTGGAGGGGGCCCCGGGGGATGAGGCGACCGGTAGTCGGATGAGCCCAGGGGATGGCGGCGACGTGCATGGAGAGGGTGGATTCGAAGCTTATGAAGAGGAGGAGGAGGGGGAGGAGGAGCAGGAGGAGGTAGACCAATTTCGGGTGGTTGGAGGGTGGGGCACTTTTTCGTAGGGCGGGGGACTGGCGCGAGGTTTGTGGCGTGACGGGTAGGCTGCTGCTGTAGGTAAGAAATTGTGCTGCCTTTGTCGGCATGGTTCTGCTGTTTTGATGTACCGCCGCGAGGCGGTTTTGCTTCAATTTTTTGCCGGTGGTGTTCAGTAGGTAAATTTGTGCCCCTTCTCAAACGTTGAGTGGTATACCGATTTTAGAAAAATGCAAGGTCTTGTCGCCGTCGCGACGTTTGGAGTGCGAAGTCTACATGTTGTGGAGCGGAACGTCCTGCGTTCAGTGTTTGACGCCACCTGCTTGCAACAATTTTTGGCCGGTCCAACTACAGTAGCAGGCTCGACGTTGCGAGGCACGGTTTCCTCTGTTCGCTCACTTAGCGTTGGTGATAAAGATGTTAAGTCGTTCCTATTGGTCACCATTGGGTGCCGCTGATTTCTGATTAGCCGAAATTGCATCAGTCATGTAGGAAACAATCTGGTGGTGTCTCGTGTCGTCTGGTGCTTGGGCAGGGAGTTACAGGGAGGGCAGCTAACGACGCTCGTCGTAGGGCGTTGCGGTGTAGACACATTAGCGTGGTGACGGAGCCGACGTATGTACGATAGTGTATGTTGGCCGTCCATTTTTGCACAGCATGTGCAAAGAACCATGTGCAAAGAACACTGCTGTTGTGAGTTGTAGTTCTCGTCCTCATCTCGCCCCCGCGCTAGAAAATGACAAAACATGAAAACGTAAAGGTCGCCATCGGCTGTAGCCCGCGAATGTCACCCGCCCCGCGCTCGCCATCTCCCGTCATATTTCTGGCAACCCGAAGCTAGCAGCTGTCTCTTCGCCGTTACTTCTCATTGCCTACCACAACACGGTTCGACGAAGCCATTGATGGAACACATTCATTCTCGTCTCTGTCTCAGCAGCTCTTGTCTAACGCACGGCGACAAGCTGTACCCAATATCTGCCAACTGCCGGTTTTACAAGGCCCAAATGCTCAATACCAAAAGGTACAGCACGCCATGGCACCGCTGCACTGTACTCGCTCGTGATCGTAACCCAACAGTAATAACACAGAGTAAATGCAGGGCGCATCACCACCACGTAATAAAAACGAACTTGTGCAGGAATGCATGCAAGAGGGAGAGAGCGGGTTCGCGACAACGGCATCCTTTTCAAAACACAGATAAGCAACGAACAAGGTGTCCTCCTGAAACTGGGGGGTTTCAGTCACGACTAAAAAAATGTCACAAAAGAAATGCGATGTGATGTTTTCACAATTCCAGTATCACAAGATTATCCTTACCCGTCTTGCGCGTGGCTGTGTTTTCACCACCTTGCCTCACGGCTACGAAACACGTTGCCCTTGGAAGGGAGAATGGTCCCTACAATGTAGGTACGAAATTTAAGAGAAATCTCACGCCCAGTACAGCGCTAAACAAGCGCTGGGCCCAAAAAAGAGTACCATAGCCAAAGAGAACCATGGATGGGTCGTCATCGCCGACAACAACGAAATTTGCCAGGATTGTTCGACACCACAGGCAGTCGCCGTGAACGTGAGCCAGATATGCGACGTCAAGTTACACGTCACACATTTTCGCTCATGCGAGCTTCTCCCCTGTCTTCTTCATCGCGTCGGCAGTGACTGCTAACGCAGCCAGCGTCTTCCATCTCGTCCTCACCCCTGCAACACACGAAGTACGCCGAACATAGCATTCTCAGTTGTATTGTAGTGCCAGGCCTTGGCGCGATCGTCGTGCATAAGGCTTGCCTATAAGACGGTCCTAAGTGTGCACGAACCTTCTCTCGCACAAATTCCAGGTCACTCCGAGTCCCAACCGTGTCCGGGTGGTTCTCACCAAGCTTCTTGGTACGGATTCTGAGGGCCCTCTCCAATAGTGGAAATGCCTCCGTGTGCTTCTCCTGCGGGCAATTGAGACGCAGGGTTGAGGAACAAATCGGGTGTGCAAACGGTTTAACAACTGCCGCGATGACTTTTTTCGTCCAAGCCATTGGCAACTGATGTCACCGTTCGTTCAGCAAGCCCGCCGGCTTAAGCCAATTCACGGTAAGACAACGAAGCGCCTCACCTTATTGTCCCGAAACGTCCTGAGCATGCCACAAAACAAAACCGGAAAGTTGTTTCGAGATGGGCTGTCAACATCGCTGCCCGGTTGTTGAGCACCGTATGTACAACATCCACAGGGCGCCAAGAGAATTATACTGGAAAGGTCTGGCGGCTCTCACCTGCACTCTCAACAACTCCGCCCGGTTGTAGATGTGCTGCAGAGTGCCCCACGAAGTCTCCAGCACCTCGAACATCATGTAGTTGCTGCAATGGGGGGGGGACGGTAACATGAGCCGAAAGCAGTAGCCATCAAGTCATTGGTCATCGTGAAATGTGTGGTAAAGGGGTCGCTGGAGGAGACAGAATAAAGACAACGACAACAGCAACAGCAACAACAACAACAGCGGCGTTTACAGCAACCAAAACAACAATGCGACGACCACAGCAACAAATACAACAATAGCACAGAGAGCACGTCACCGGACACCACAAGTTGCCTCAACCACAGCGAGCATACCAAACTACAGAATTGAATCCGAAACAAGCGTGAGCTCAGGATGGTGGGAATGGAGATCACGCATCTGATGCCAGCACCGCCACACGCAGCAGTCACAGACACGGAAAGACTCAGGAACCAGACCAAGCGCAGAAGCCTCCGCGACTCCGTTGTGACGCAAGAAGCAACACACATGGTGAAAACATGCCATAGGCCGTCGTGAGGAAATTATATACGACTACTGAAGCAGGAGCGCGTGTGTTCGTCCGAAGCAAGCTCCAAGTTGGCAAGGAATGTACACCATACACGAGGTTCTCAAAATTCGAGTTCACTGCTGGTCGTGTCCCTACCGTCACCTACACACCGGGGGAGATTAGCTACATTGTACACGAGAGTTGTTGCAGTCCAACAGCGATAACGCCGCCGGCCCTTGTTGGCTGTTGCTTCCCAAGGAACATGACGCACTTTCATGTAGCAGAAACAGACCATCCAAAAATCGAAAAACAACGCACGAACGTATCCTGAATCGACGAGGCTAGGGCTAACCTGAGTTTAGTGGTGAGGGAAAACATCTGTCCGCGAACTAGGCTGCACCGGTGCAGCGCGCCTTTCAGCTCCAGAAGGGCTTGCTCCAGCTGTCGTCCCATCATGTTGTAGAAGTATTGTGTTCGTGTTTCAAAACGCCGAGGCACCAAGGCCAAGTGAACAACCACCACAACACGACAGCAAAGGAAAACAAAGAACATCACGGAGCAACATGACGAGAGAGCCCAAGAAAACAACAAGAGAGTGGGCGCGGGTGATGTCGTCAGTCAGGGTTGACAAGAGCCAGTAAGGGGCGTGTTGGGTGTTGGTGCACCACGGCAGGCGCAAGAAAGTGTTTTTTTGCTCTCTCTCTCTCTCTCTCTCTCTCTCTCTCTCTCTCTCTCTCTCTCTCTCTCTCTCTCTCTCTCTCTCTCTCTCTCTCTCTCTCTCTTTCCCCCTATGTCTTTCTGTCTCCCTCTCGCTGTCAACATTCGGTGTTGCTCACCCGGACGTGTGTGGCGCTTGTGTGCAGTCGCCAGGCCGAAGCCAGGCTCCACTCTGCCCGCTTGATACGCCAAAGCAGGTGGAAGAATCTTGGGTACTCGACTAGCACCTGAGGCACGAGACATCAGACACCGGGGATGGCCATTTGGAAATAGGCACGAGAAATGTGTCATGTCGTTAGAATACCCTCATGATCGACATCGTCATCGGTCACACCGAAGCATCACCGACAACGTTGCCATCATGTCGACCTTGACTTCCATGGCAATACAACGTCAAGTTAAACATCCTGTTAACAGCAGTACGTTGCTGCAACAGCATGCACAACGCTTATTCGGCCCAAACACACCCTGACAAAAACATTCCCGAGGCGCAATTCATCAGAAAAACGGCAAAAAGGCCCCCAAAACACCCGCACTTCATCTCTTTGCGAGAACGGTGACCGTCCAACGCTTGTGACGACACCGAGAAGTGGTAGATGTTAACCTTGTAAAGGCTATGGGACTCCCGCTGGGCTCCAAGAAGAGCGTTTCCTGGCAAGTCCAATTCATGCAATGATTGGGAAAAAAATAAACTTGTCAATACACGGCGTACTACTTGTACTGTATCATCACGGAGGTAGCACATTTACACTGTAAAATTCCGGGAGGTGCACACCTGCCGAGGCAAGGGGAAAACCACCCCTCAAAAGGTGCTTACCTCTTCCGTAACCACGGTCGAGACGGGAGCGCCTACATCGTACTTGAGCGAAAAAACATCCCATCCCCTGAGCGATGGAGAGGCAGGCATTGCCACACGAACGAAGTCGTAACCCTAGGTTAAGGGGGGCCGAAGACAGGGGTAGTCGCGAAACAGTCATGACAAGGTGGTCATCAACGCCAAGAGATCCGTGATATGGGCTGTGTGTCACCCTAGTACTTGATCTGAGAGTGAATCTAGGCTCATGTTGACGCGGAAACAAACTTCTTCCACCGGGTGTGGTGTTACTGTTTGTGGTGCGTACTATCTCATGCGGGTGCGTCATCAGGCTCGCTGCGGGTTGGCTAATAAGGAGGACGTGGCGTTGGTCAAGTATTGGTAATACTTCGATAATAGTAGGGAGATGCAGCCGTCGCTAACCCAAGATACTGGGGTACAGTATGACGCACATTGAATCTACTCGAAGATCGCCTCCCGTCGAACCCAACCCAGAGAAAAGAAGCAATTAGCAACCAATAGTTCTCTTTATTCCTTACATCGCCCCCGGTGTCAAGTGTTGCAGTATTTAACCGTCGAGATCTTGACTCCGATCCTAATAGCAACGTCTCCCGCTTCGTCCTGCAGGATGGCGCTGGTCTTGATCACGCCCTCGACTATCCCCATGACGTTGTGCCGGCAGATCACCGTGGCCTTCTTGTCAAGCTCTGGACCGAGCACTTCAATGAGGGTGAGCATGAGATCTCCCTGACATGACCAAGGCGGTTACGTTGTTGCCGAAGAAAGGTTAGACTGAAGCATGTGAAGGTGGGGTCAAGGTAGCGATTATCATCCAGCACCGCTTCGGAGGCAGCACCAACAATCAGCAGACATCACAAAGACCGAACTAGTACAGTAGCCAGCATCAGCGTGATAGACAGGGTCATCATTGTACGTCACCAGGAAAAAGGTAAGAGGGGGCAGCATCGCAACCGTAGAGGACGCGGGTTCGAATCTCGGAGGCGCCACCAGACCTGGGATCTGTTCAAAACAAACATACAGCTAGGAACGGAGAAAGTCTGCTTCGCGGAACCTCAACAGTCGATTTTACGGTCGGCGCAGGAAAGGGACCGCTCCATCCATCCTTCTAGCCATAACAAAAAGATCGCACACACCGGAAGAGGTCTGTTGAGGTGGCATGTGTCCGCTGTCCGCTACCGCACGTTGGTCAGTGAATCTCACCTGTCCGTGGAGCAGGAACTTCTTGAGGACTCGAAGGTGCGACTTTAGCCGGTAGGGCCCGAGCATGAGGTGCACGAGCCTGGATTTGGTCAAGGCGGAGCAAGACTCCACCACAGCCCTGAGGGATGTCGTGTTCCCGTATTCCAGCGTTGTGGCCTGGGCCGCTGCCTGCGTTCGGAGATTTCGGAGATTTGTGGGGGCTCTTGGTTAGACATGTGAGAGGTGTGAGTGGGCTGATGGAGATGCTCTACAAGTTGCTGAACGCCAGGCGGATAGGAAAATGTTGGAAAGTGATCGATCGCTATATTTCCTTTCGATGGACTCACATGATCCTTGATTCGACTGGCCCGGAAACTAAACATGCAGCTTCTTTCCTGGCGTGTGCTCTAAATAAAAAGCAAAACCCTTGTGGTGAAGAGACCAGATGGAAACCTAGCAGGCAATACTGATGTACCCATGATAGCTTCTCATTTATGGAGTCGCAATTGGGGTTCGCAAAGGCAAGCAGTTGAGTGGAAAACCACTTCACATGTACATGTACACAAGCGCAGCAAAGTGACATCTTACATAGATGCGTCCAACCAGCATCAAACTAGGCCGCAGCATCAACCAAAACTTCTTCAAAGCTTCGACTCGCTCAATAAAACGGCCCGGTCAAGGTCGTACAAGAACCGGAGCAACATGCAGTGCATGTGCATGTGCATGCCCACTACAGCCTCCACCAGCAGCCATCATCCCTTGCTGACAGCCGCACCCGTAGCCTCGAGACAGACACCACCAACAGACAGAGACACCCACACGAAAGCATCACCAGCAGCGCCAGCGAACTCGCCTTGGCCATGGGCCCCGTGATCCACTCCGAGTTCCCGCACAGGTGCCTCAAGAAGTTGATGGCCTTTCCGATGGTGACAATCTTCACGGCCACCTCTTGCATGGCATAGTGCAACACATGGGGACGTCGAACACAAAAAAAAATCTATACCACGATTGATACAACGTGCAGCACCTGGGCATGATACCGGCGAACTTGACGCTAACCTGGCAATGATATCAGAAACAGAACCACGCGAGTCACAGTGTTCCATCATTCTTGGACATGACACGCTCGCGACAGCAACTAAATGAGGAGCAAGAAGGACTACCTCCAACCTCATGCTCGGTTCCTCACCTCTCCATTGGATCCATTGGAGGCCTCGCGCGCCACCAACGCTTCGTGTTCCACGAGATACGCCGACCTGTCCCGCGGGGACTTCCGACCCGTCCTGCGGGGACTTCTTCTCCTGGAACCCCAAGTACTTCTATATAATACCGTATGATGCTCTTCCTCCGTCCAGCCTTGCTCGTTGAGGAAGGCGAAATGTACATTTGGAGATACCTCATATCTTACGCGTGGTTGTGTTCTCACCACCTTGCCTCGCGACTACGAGACACATTGCCCTCGGAAGGGAGGATGGTCCCTACAGTGTATGTACGACAAAAATACAAAAATGCTTGAGAGCATTGTCACGCCCAAGAGTACAGCGCAAAACAAGCGCCTCTCGCAATAAGAGTAGCCAGTAAGAACCCTTGACGGGTCATCATCGAAAACAACAACGAGCGTTGCAAGAAATGTTCTACACCATAACCAGTCGCCGTGAACGTGAGCCAGATATGTAACGCCAGGTTACACTTGACGCAATTTGCCAACGCGAGCTTCTCCCCTGTCTTCTTCTTCGCGTCGACAGTGACTGCTGTCGCAGCCAGTTTCTTCCACCTCGTCCTCACACCTGCAACACACGAAGTACACATAGCATTCTCAGTTGTATTGTAGTGCCAGGCCTTCGCGCGATCGTCGTGCAATAGCCTTGCCTACAAGACGGCCCCAAGTGTGCACGAACCTTCTCTCGGACAAATTCCAGATGACTCCGAGTCCCAACCGTGTCCGGGTGGTTCTCACCAAGCTTCTTGGTACGGATCCTGAGGGCCCTCTCCAATAGTGGAAGTGCCTCCGTGTGCTTCTCCTGCGGACGATTGAGATTGAGACGCAGGGTTGAGAACCAAATTGGGTGTGCAAACGGTTTTACGAAGACTGGGGTAACAACACCGATTCGCTCACCACGTGGTACACACAAGCAGTGGTGGGGGAAAAATTGTCCGGCCAAACTGCCACACAATACATACGAAACGGGAGGGATTCAACATGAACAACTGCCGGCATCATACTAGTTTCGTGCAAGCCATTGGCAACTGATGTCACCGTTCGATCAGCAAGCCCGCTGGCTTCAATTCACGGTACGACAACGAAGCGTCTAACCTTCTTGTCCAAAACCGTCTTGAGGACGCCACAAAACAATCCCGGAAAGCTATTTCGGTTCTCACCTGGGCTATCAACAACTCCGCCCAGTTGTTGAGGTCTGTAGCGACCTCAGGGTGGTCAGGACCGTAAACTTTCTCGTCGATAGCCAGCGAGCGCCTGTACAGAGGCTCAGCCTCGTCATACTTGCCCTGGAATACAGTCCACGGCGTGGCAGGGTCGTTCTTCAGCACAAGTCGGGTCTAGAACTGCGGAGGATATTGTCTGCTTGAAGCTTCTAGAATACCGTTTGACTTTCATCTGGCTCATCAACAACCCCGCCCACGTTGTTGGGGTCTGTAGCGACTTCCGGGTGGTCAGGACCGAAACCTTCTCGACGATAGCCAACGAGCGTTTGAAAAGTGGCTCGGCTTCCTTATACTTCCCCTGGAATACAGTTGACAGCGTGGCAGGGTCGTATTTGTGTACAAGTCGGGTCTAGAACTGCGGAGGAACATTCACTTCTGGAAGCATCTCGAAGAATCGTTTGGTTCTCACCTGCGCTCTCAACAACCCCGCCCGGTTGTTGAGCGTTCTGGCTAGACTTGGGTGCTCAGGGCCTAGAGCCTTCTCCTCTATCGCCTGACACCGCTCATACAGTGGCTCAGCTTCCGAGTGTTTGCCCTGGATACAGTGAGGACAGCGTGGTGGAGTCGTATTTCAGTGAGAAGATCGTAAATGGGATTGTGGAGAAACATTTTCTCAACAACCCCGCCCTGTTGTTGAGCGCTGAAGCATAGTTAGGATGCTGTTCGCCAACTGTGGCACCTAGGATCTCCAGGACTCGGACATAGAGGGGGTCAGCGTCTTCGTACTTGCCCTACGGAGACGGGGACGCAGTGAGAGCGGTCAACATTAGTAAAACTAGCAGCGGAGGAACAATTGCTCAACAACCCCGACCCCGCCCTGTTGTTGAGCACTCCCGAAATCTATCGGGTACCACAAGAAACTTCCTGGAATTTTCTGATGGCTCTCACCTGCGCTCTCAACAACTCCGCCCGGTTGTTGAGTCTCGTGGCAAGATCTGGGTGGTCAGGGCCTAGCGTCTTCTCCCCAATCTCAATAGCTCGCAGATAGAGAGGGTCGGCTTCGTCGTACTTGCCCTGAAGTACGAGGGAAAAACACGACGGGGGCAACTTTGTCAAAACTATGAATGGAGTGTAATGCGGAGGAACAATCGCTCAACAACTACGCCCGGTTGTTGAGCGTTGTGGCTAGACTTGGGTGCTCAGGGCCTAGAGCCTTCTCCTTTATCGCCTGACACCGCTCATAGAGTGGCTCAGCTTCCGAGTATTTGCCCTGGATGCAGTGAGGACAGCGTGGTGGAGTCATATTTCAGTGAGAAATTCGTAAATGGGGTTTTGGTGCAAGTGGGATCTAGAACTGCGGATGAACATTATTTTCTAGAACCATCTAGAAGCGTCGTTTGACTCTTACCTGAGCCTGCAACAACCCCGCCCGGTTGTTGAACGTTGTGGCCAGACTTGGGTGCTCAGGGCCTAGAGCCTTCTCGTTTATCGCCTGACACCGCTCATAGAGTGACTCAGCTTCCGAGTGTTTGCCCTGGACGGAGTGAGGACAGCGTGGTGGCGTCGTATTTCAGTGAGAAATCGTAAATGGGATTTTGGTGCAAGTGGGATCTAGAACTGCGGATGAACATTCTTTTCAAGAACCATCTAGAAGCGTCGTTTGGCTCTTACCTGACTCTCCAACAACCCCGCCCGGTTGTTGAGCACCGTTGCGACGGCAGGGTGTTCCGGACCCAGGACCTTCTCTCGTATGGCTTGTGACCGCTCATATAGCGGCTCGGCTTCCTCATACTTCCCCTGAAGTACAGTCGACAGCGTGACAGGGTCGCGTTTTGGTGCAAGTGGGATCTAGAACTGCGGATGAACATTATTTTCTAGAACCATCTAGAAGCGTCGTTTGGCTCTCACCTGACTGTCCAACAACACCGCCCGGTTGTTGAGCGCTGTGGCCACGTTCGGGTGCTCAGGACCTAACGCTGTCTCCCAAATCTCGGTCGCCCGCCTGTACAGAGGCTCGGCCTCGGCGAACTTACCCTGAGACGTGAAGGGCAAGCATGTCAGAAGTGTGGTCAATGCTAGCGGGGATTGACAACGGACTAACAATTGCTCAACAACCCCGCCCGGTTGTTGAGCGCTGTGGCCACATCAGGGTGCTCAGGACCTAACGCTGTCTCCCAAATCTTGGTCGCCCGCCTGTGCAGAGGCTCGGCCTCGGCGAACTTACCCTGAGGGGCGTGAAGGGCAAGCATGTCATAAGTGTGGTCAATGCTAGCGGGGATTGACAACGGACTAACAAATGCTCAACAACCCCGCCCGGTTGTTGAGCGATACGGCCACATCAGGATGCTCTGGACCTAGCACCTTCTCCCGTACTGCCTGTGACCGCTCATACAGCGGCTCGGCCTCCTCATACTTCCCCTGGAATGGCGTCGACAGCGTGGGTCTTGTTTTAGCACAAGTGGGATCTAGAACTGCGGAGTAACACCACCTTCTAGAAGAGAATCTAGAAGCAATATTCAATATTTGGCTGTCACCTGACTCTTCAACCACTCCGCCCTGTTGTTGAGCACTCCCAAAATCTATTGGGTACCACAAGAAACTTCCTGGAATTTGTGATGGCTCTCACCTGCGCTCTCAACAACTCCGCCCGGTTGTTGAGCTGCACGGCAACATCTGGATGCTCTGGGCCCAACGCCTTCTCTCCGATAACGATAGCTCTTACGTACAACGGTTCCGCGTCGTCATACTTTCCCTGAGATATAAGGGAAAAGAGGGAGGAAGATGTGGTCATCGCTGTGTTGTTGAGCACTCCCGGAATCTATCGGGTACCACAAGAAACTTCCTGGAATTTGCTGATGGCTCTCACCTGCGCTCTCAACAACCCCGCCCGGTTGTTGAGCTGCACGGCAACATCTGGATGCTCTGGGCCCAACGCCTTCTCTCCGATAACGATAGCTCTTACGTACAACGGTTCCGCGTCGTCATACTTTCCCTGAGATATAAGGGAAAAGAGGGAGGAAGATGTGGTCATCGCTGTGTTGTTGAGCACTCCCGGAATCTATCGGGTACCACAAGAAACTTCCTGGAATTTGCTGATGGCTCTCACCTGCGCTCTCAACAACCCCGCCCGGTTGTTGAGCGCTGTTGCCACCGCAAGATGATCAGGTCCGTATAATTTCTCGTGGATCGCAAGGGAACGTTCATACAACGGCCCTGCTTCGTCGTACTTGCCCTAAATCACGAGGGACGAGCGGGATGGGAGGTGTGATTATTGCTAGTTGAGGACACCGCGGAGGAACAAATGCTCTACAACCTCGCCCGGTTGTTGAGCGACGTAGCCACATGAGGATGCTCCGGACCCAAGACCTTCTCCTGTATGGCCCGTGACCTCTCATAGAGTGGTTCGGCCTCCGCGTACTTGCTCTGAACGAAAAACAGTGGGTTGTGTTAAGGGCAGTGGTTCACCCAGAAGGGAAAAGAACAAACATGGGTGGACGAATTCTGACCAGTCCTCTGTCAGCAAGAACGACGGTCACATGCTATCTGGAGAACATGACGCTCCTTCCTCTTCTTCAAAACAAGACGCTCATTCATTTGCCAGTTGGTGGGAGGGGGTAGCGTCGACGACAATTGAAAGATTGAAACAACTCGCCAACGCTTCGAATAACCTAGAGTTGCGAGCACGTTTGTCATCGAACGCCTTGCGAAAAACAGACGTTTTGTGTAGACGGAACAATATTTCCAACCGCACCATGTACAGCGACGCTACATCATACATCTCCGGAGGTTTCGCAGATCTGATGGGTGTGATGGACTTGACGCGCTCTTCCTTCCCTTGCCCATGTCTCACTCTTACAATAATACCAGGGTACACCTCGGTACTAGTTTTGTAGGCGGATTCAGGCGGGGCGGTACTTCAATGTGGCGGTAGGCGGTATTTCGTTTTCCGGCGGTACCGCCTTTGGTCGGTTCCCGGTACTGCCAATTATGGCGGTACTTCTCTGGCGGTACTGCAAAATGGCGGTTCTTTTTAGGCAGTTCCCGGTACTTCTTTTTTTGGCGGTACTTCTTCGGCGGTACTGCAATATGGCGGTACTGCAATATAGCGGTACTGCAATATGGCGGTACTTTTTTGGCGGTAGACGGTGTTTCGTTTTTCAGCGGTACCGCCTTCGGCGGTTCCCGGTACCACCGAATGTGGCGGTAATTACCGCCAGTACCGGGACCGCCCACCACGGCGGGAAAAAAATGGCGCAAATTTTCCCGAGGTGTACCCTGAATAATACAAGCAATCTTTCAGTCATTCCTGCGTGCAGAAACACTCTCCACAAGAGCACGCGAGCGTCATTACGCACTACATGCGCTACACACTTTTCCTCGAATCTCGAAACTCAACCCGCACACATTTGACATCACCATACAGAACAAAAAACGTAGCGGCGATCGATGAAAGCGGTCGTGCGCGAAGCGCCCTTGTACTACACTAGACAACGAGCACCCTCCGAACAGTGCAGAATTCCCCCCAAAAAATCTGCCGTACCTGGATGTTGAACAAGAAACCTACAGACCCGTAGGATGTCGCCACGGCTTCCGTCGCCTCACAGGACTCCAACTCCTCGAGGCTGGCGCGATACGATGCAACCTCCAGCCCAGGGTCCCCCGAGAGCTTCTCCACCGAGCGCCAGAGGGCATCCAAAAAGAAAAGGCCTTGGTCTCCAGTGCCGTGCTCCGGGTCTCCGTAACTCTCGAGCACGTCCAGTCTCCCGAGGTACTGCGCCTGCAGCGCTGTGGCCTTTTTCACCGTCTCCTCCTCTGCCCTGATGCTAGTCTTCGCAAACTCCAGGACCAGGTCGTGCACACGGTACCCACCACCTCCCACAGCGTGTAGAAGGCATTTGCTCACCAGACCCTCAGCGTCGTCTCGCGTACCCTCAGCGTCCTGCAGATACACGAAACACCGGGAATACATGAACTGGGGGTCAACATGCGGCACACTTCTAAGACCGTAGAAACCAGGGCATTTTCCACTCCTCTCTGCCGCACAACCCACTAACCGTGCCCGTACATCTACAACAGATGATTTGCAAACCGTTCCAAGACTTCCAACTACCTGGTAAAAGGGACGCCCCAACGTACCTCTATCTCCCACAGATTGCGCAGCATCTCGATCGGTGCAAGAGCACCCGCGGCCAACACAGCCATCTTCAGGAACTCTTCTTGCTTCCGCACTGCCAACGAGTCGAAACTGGTCTCAAGGACCACTTTCATAGACGATGACTGCTCGCCCCGAGCTCGCATTTTCTTGGCCACGTTCTCCAACTCTTTGGCCAGCTCTTCCCAGGCGACGGCGGTCAAGCCCTTCCCTCTCACGACGGACATGGAACCCGCGATAGCGAGCACCAACGGTAGGTGTCCACAGAGCGCAACGACCTGGATCGGCGTTCGTCGGGAGTTGAATGCTCCGTCGAGTCAAGCACGATGATGAATGTCTTTGACAGCAGTGCATAACTCTTACATGTACACAGGGCGCAACAGCTCTATGGAGGGCCCTTACCACACGGTTAACGCTCCCGACATGTATCGAAACTACAAGTTGAAGCGACTAAACAGAGAAGGCTCTACGAGGAGATAGTTAGCGACGACATGGGTTGACCATCTACAAACACAAGTGCACGCACCACTCAACATCAAAGCCGTCATTGGTGTCATGCCTTTTTCGCGACACCGGGAACGGAGGGCATGCAATCAGAGCAAACTGAAGCACACCAAACCAACCTCGACGTGCGTTGTTCGTCGCATAAACACCTGTGACACTCAGCATCACGCCACCAACCGATGCTAAGCTCAACTCCAGGCAGCACTCGAGCAGACAACCAATGTATGAAACCATGCATCAGCAAAAAAACAAGCACACCCTGATACACCTTGTCGACCTACGATTCAAGGCGCATCCATCACCTTGGTCATCTTCGTCCGGACATCGTCACCAGGCTGACCCACAGCCCCGCTCGTCTTCCGCAGCAGCTCCAGCGCCTCTTCCTCCGTCACGTCTCCCAGCTCCAAGCGTCCGGCTGGCACACCAACAACCGACCGATCACGCGTGGTCAGCAGCACCTTGAACCCCAGAGGAACAAACGCATCCACGACCTCGCGCTCCCACACATCGTCCAGCACCACCAGGCGTTGGGAGGTGCCGGTGGATGTAACTGCAGCCAGATGCTGCCGCACCTGCTCGAGGCTGTCAAGGACGCGAGGAACCCCGCACGGAGCATCCGTCGGCGCCGCGCCCACGTCCCTGGCGAGGCCCTGGAGGAGAGCCAGGAGGCTGCTCTTCGCGCCCCTCCCCACTCTCACCCAGAAAATACCGCCGCGGAAGTGCTCCCTCACGCTCGGCTTGCGAACGACAGCAGAGGCCAGCACGCTCTTCCCCCCTCCACCCATACCGACGACGGTGTAGGGGGCACGGGACTCCTCCGGGGCGGTGAGGCCATCGGCAACTTCTTGTACCGCAGCTCGCTCCACGTAGCTGCTGCTGGGCAACTCAAGCGCTCCTGCGGGAACTGCGGCCATGTCCGGCAAGCTTGGGGGGAGCAAAGAGGGAAGCGCCGCCAAGAACGACTGGTGGTGCTCCAGCCCGTCCACCAAGGCGATGTCGCTCCTTATCCTGCGGAGGCACTCCTCGAAGCCGGCGAGGGCGCTCAGGTCGGGACGATGGCAAAAAAACGCCCTACACTTACCGCCCTTGGCCCACCTAGCCGCGAACCCTGCTAGCTCGTTGGTCGTGGCGACGAAGTCTTGGATGGGCTTCTGCACCTGGGCGAGGGGACCCACCGCTCGACCGTGCTGGATCAAGACGGTGGCGAGGAACGCGCACTGGGACACCAAGCTCTGTAGTTTGTCTTGGCATTCGGCTGCACCCTCGGCGGCCTCGATCAACGCCTTGAAGGCCTCGCACACAGGCACTAAGGGCCCGACGCTCGCAACACCGAGCACCCCAACTGCTGAGGTCGTCATCCATGCAAGAGCCTCCTGTACGGGGGTGGGGCAAGCCTCCCACTCTTCCGTTGCTCGAGCTCCGATGTGGAGAAAGGCGGGCCAAGGCTTCTTTTCGGCGAGAAGCTTGCCAACATGGTCAAGCCGCTACGAAGGGGCGGCGGAGGGGGGGGCAGGGAGGGGAATTCGAGCATGGAACTGCTGCTGTATGTACCAGGTTTCTGAGCTGAAGGTCGGGCAATGAACTGAAAAACACATTTAAAAATACATGGTGTCTTTGGTGTGAAAATTGGTAAACTGCTGTGATACGCACCTCTACCGTGGTGGGCTCGACCACTGCTGCTGCTGCAAGGCCCGCTTGGTCTCCACTGGCGGGGGCACGTTGCATCTCGCCACCGGTACCGTCGCGTACGCCGGCCGCTTGCTGTGAATCACAGAATTAAACAACACGCGGAATAGAGAGGCACCGCACGAAACACATCAAAATATCTCTTCGTGCGCTGAATCATGCCGAGGAAAACATAACCACAGCAATTGCTTCAGGAAGACTCTACTTACCCGCTGGTCGCCAAGCTGCTGCACCACGATAGTCATGTACATGCTGCTGCACCAGATTGTGTTGAATAACAACAAAAGTTCTGAGGGGGTCACTGGTTCTAATTTGTACCCGCGGGGTAAGACCCTTTTCTCACAACAAGCAACAAGGGAACTTGAACTTGCTTCTTTTTCAGCAGCGGCGCATCGCGGCTATTGTTTTGCGTGAGCGCGAAAAATTGTGCCGCAGACCATCTACTTGCCACGAACAGCAGCTGCGGCTGTGTTGCGCAACATCAAAAGTATCCCCCAGAACATCTAGGTTGGACCATGCTAACGTGGCGGAAAAAATGCAACGACTTCGGTGAACGTTATTATATGGTATATTTTAGCGGAAAAAAAAAATGCGGAAACGAAAAAAAAAATCGTGGGACCACGCAAGAAAACCAACTTGCTTGCCAGATTGCAAGGCGACGCGTTGAACTTCTGTGGGGCGCATGGCACCTATCTTCCTGTCTCGCCAATTCGTCGGGCGTACCCTACCACCCTGCGACAAATGCGCGAAGCCAGGCTGCTGCTGGAGGAACGTATCTAAAGTTTTGTGACGGAAGAACTCCCGAATTCTCTCCCCTTTCCCTCACCAATGCACCCTCAATTTGCAGGCGAGGTGGGCACGAAGTGGAGTTGAAACCCATCTTTTTGAGTATAACAATGCACACCCTGGCTATGATTGTTGATCGCCTGCCGTGCAAAGTGTCATGTGTGGGCTGGGTGCGCCATTTTCATTTTGTTGGTCGGTGGACCGTACATCAAACAGTCGGGTCAAGCGTGGGGTACGTATCCCAGGACCGTTCTGCGCGGAGGAGGAAGACACACGGCAACCAGAGAGACCGAGCGCAGCCTGCAGCACAGCAGCAGTACCGTTACTTACTCCACAACAATGCCAACCGACCGCCAAGGTCTCCATCCCCTGCATGCTGTCGGTGGCCCCTGTGAGGAGAAGGAAAGAGGGCTGCTGGAGGTGTCGTGTACTGGTCAGAAACATCAGTAGCGGCAGAGCCGACAACCTACAGCAGTATATTTATGTACATCGCAACCCGCGACGTGCGGCGCCCTTCGAGGTTAGGGTTTAGCTGCTGCCGCTGCTAGTGCTGCTGCTGCTGCTGCTTGTAGAACTCGGTTTGAGGACTTGAGGACTGGGGAAGGCGGCAGATACAATACGGAGGCGCTTCTATGGAAAAATAAAATTGCCGCCACCGTTCTCGGAATTGTTCGGGTACATGTATTGCTGTACAGGCACAGCAAGAATACACACAAGACAGGAGGAAAGGTTGGCAGGTGCGCTTCTACTGGATCGGGAGGTGGAACACCTTTTTTTTTTAGTTTTGAGAAAAACATTACCTCCAGCCAGGCTCGGGCGTTGCTACCATTGACCGGTTTTACCATACAGCAGCGTTGAGGTGTGGGGGGCGCCAGTGTGATTTACAAAGAGGGGGGGTGGATTTCATCATCAGCTGGAGAAGGGAAGTGGTGTTCATCATCAGCTAGAGACGAGGGTGGTGTTCATCATGGAGAGGGGAGGCGGTATTCATCATCAGCTGAGAGGGGGGGTGGTATTCATCGTCATTAGCTAAAGAGGGGTGGTGTTCATATCAGCTATTAATACCAGCGCAAAATATATATAAATGTTCCTCTGGTTCGAGCGTTGATTGAGGCAAACGCGTGTGATGGTTGACCAGACTAGTACGGAAGACACAGGTGGCACCCTAGGCCCTCGCACACGAGTATGGAGAGGTTTACAGCGTACATGCAGAATCAATTCTAACAGCGTGTTGGTGTGCCTCTGTCCTCTCTCTTGCTGAGAGACCCCGATTTATGGGAACAAAATCTTGTCGATAAATCTTGATCTTGGCCAAGATCTGCCAGTTTCACGATGTATGGGAGCGAAAGCTTCCGATATATCTTGGCCAAGTTTTTCGAGGCCCGAAATCTGCCCTTTCGAACAAATCTTGACCCAAGATCTGTCGAAACGAGCCTTCCGACAAATCTTGAGGCGGCGTAACAAATCTTGCCTAGGTGCGGCGCGATCACCGAAGGTCAGTCAATCTAATCGTCCATAACGCCATGAAGTCTGCACGTGGCACACTCGCAAGGGTCTCTAACGCACCCTGGCATCACTGTGTCGGCGCCACGGGCGCCGACAGCGAACCAAAACAACCCACAAAGGCGGTCGAAAAAAATGCGTATTTGCCCTGGCTCGTTCCACGTGCGTCATCACCAGTCTGTCGAGGGACCGTTCAAAGAGTACTTTATTTTGAAGAAGAAAAATAGAGGAGGAGGGACGTTTTGCCAACACTGCTCTATCGTGTGCGACGCTTCTATCTCTTCATCGAATCACCCCGCACCCAACCCGTTTGCACCCGAGCCAAATCCGTGAGTGCAGATGACAGCGCCGGAGGTTTGACCTCGGTACGCCTGCCACATAGTGAGATACGTGCATGGGTGTCATCGGCCTCGGGTTGATGCACTTTCTTGTCAGTTGGACAGCAATGAAACAATTTTGTTTCTCCGCTTGACATGAGCTCGTGGGCAAACGGCTTCTATTTTGCACCCCAGGTAGGCGCCCATCGCTAGTATCCACCCACAGTGTTAAGGCAATACAGCTGGGGGGAGGACGCCCCTTCTACAACTGCGTCATGCTCCCTTTTCGCCACACCTCGGCATTTTCTGTGGACCAAATGGCCGTTGTGCCTTTATCAACTTCAAGCAGAAGAGAGGAACAACACGCCGCTTTTTCAACATTCAAGATATTTCCCCCATAAATCGCGATACTGCAAACCTTCGCGGAGATATATTGTGAGCAAATCTCGGGTCAAAATGCCACGATATATTTGCAAGATTATGTTTCCATAAAGGGTCTAATGACAAGATAAAGAAAAAATGCCGACGCTGCTCACAACAACCAAACGTTCCTTTCTTCTCTCCTGTCGCTCTCCCGGTGGTGTGTGTATGTGTGTGTGTGTTTCCCACCCTCCTTGTCCATGTTTCCTGTCTCCGTGTAGTGTGTGTCTTGCCCACAGCAGCAGCAGCTGCTGAGCACACAGCAGCCGAGAACCAACAAAAATCACGCCTGTCGCGGGTTTTGAGCGGGGACGCTGCTCGCTTCCCGACTGTAAGTTCGGCGCAGATGCCTTCATTAGTCAATGCACTGTATTGTACACCGATTTAGCTGGAAGCAGTTGTCATCACTCAGGCAAAATGTTCCTTCTACTTCTACTTCTACTTCTACTTGTTGGGCACACAAGTCTCAGATTCTCGCTTGGTGCCTAGATGGTGAAATGGGCTCCAGTCTCGTGGGGCTTTATGACCCGGCACGACGCAGAAAAAGGCTGTGTACTTTGCCCCCCTGCCTACTGTAGTACTAGATAGCGGGGTAATGAACCGCGTTTGACGACTCAATACCTTGCAGGGGTCTATCTGCGATGCTGCGAGATACGCTGCTTTCCAGACAGCAACGCAGCAACCCAGCACGCAGCGCGCGGAATTCATCGCGGAACAATATTCGAACACATCTGCCACGACCTTGTACCCGCTCCCGCTGGAAGCTTGTTGAAAAAAAAGCGTTCGGCACAGCCTGCAGAAAACATACGCCGCGTCTGTCTGCTGGGATTATCAGTTCTGTTTTTTTACCAGAGGGCGCAAAAGGTTTCGTTTTCCGATGACCCGCCCTCTCCCCACACGCCAAAGCAACAGCAATGACAATGACACCCGCTACGAGCTGTGTGTATGGCTCCCTTCCCTCGCCAGTGTGTTGCGTGTTTAGCTTTCTTAGTGCTTCCTCCGCCTCCCCCGGGTTGTAAACCGAGCAACTATTAATAATAATAACTGCTTCGTGTGTTGTGTATGTAGGAGATGTCCGCTTTTTTGTGTTCCTTTACCTCTCGTCCAACTCCCGGGGACGAGGGCAAGAATTTTCCATGAACTTGGGTACATATGCGTGTCTAGCACGGTCATCTGTTGTCAGAGGGCTACGAAACCGGTGTGACGGAGGGTGCCCGAATTAGCTTCCTCCTCACAACCCAGCAGACTGTAAATCGGTGCTCTACAAGTAAGACCTCGTTCTCGTCTAATACAGGCGAAAATATGTTGACGTACCATTCCCCGGGGGGGGTTGCGGAAGGGGCGCTCTACAGCGCGATGGATGAAACAGCCCGATATTTAGAGCCTTTGTCCCTCCTTGAGGATGAAGGGAAGAAATGTCGCGCTTCGCCCTCCGCGGACTCATTATAAAAAACATTTTTGTGGCAAAACAAGAAGCACTCCTACCGGGCCGCTCTACAAAAAACTATTAATAGCTTCGACAGTACCGCAAACGACGGAGAGATGGCACCGGGGTGGGTGCATACAACATCGCTGAAACCCTTGAGGCTCGCTGTGTGGAGTTCATTGGGCATCGCACCGGTCGGAGCGATCGCACCGGGGTGCGAACAAAATACGAGGGAAAACACTAAAGCACACCCGGTGCCATCTCTCCGCCTTCGACGGCACCGTCCTCGGAACGTTTCGAGTACCGGTCTGTAGCAACAACACAGGCGTGGCGGTAAACAAAAAAGGCGTGATGCGCAAGAGAAATACCTAGCCAGGCCACGTGCGGAACTTCTCTGGGGTTGCATATGTCTTCGTGTCTCGCAAATTCGTCGGCTGTACGGGCCCCCTGGTGCTAAAACGATAAATTTGCATAAAATACTGGCTCTGGTTTTAAGCATCTGAAGTAGACATTAGTAAGGCGAAGCTGGAACTCATCGTTATTGAGTAAATACAAGGCGCACCCTGGCTATGATTGTCGATCGCCTGCCGTGCTCATTGTGCATGTGCGCATGCATGCACAGCATTAGCAGCAGCATTTTGTTGCGGCATGTGATGGGCATCTGTGGCATTGTTGTGTGTTGTGGAACCGTACATGATAAAAGTCGGGTGCGGGGAGTGGGGATACGCTCCCCGTTGTGCATGATTTGTAGATTTGTAGTCATATCATGCTGAAGCACCAGTGCTAAGTTCAAGTTTGATTTGATTTCTGGTTTGCCAGGACGGAGAGACCCTCATGTGCTCACAAGAAGCAAGCACTTGCTCATTTGGCAAAAGCGGCGGCTGTCGCGCTGTGCGGCATCCAAGCTATGCCGCGAACTAGCTAGTTTGAGCGATGCTACGGACAGCAGCAGCTGCTGTGTTGTGCGGCTTCAAAATTATGGCGCAGCCATCTAGCTTGAACGATGCTTTGCGTTTTGAGGTGCTTCCACTTCATCTCAGAGTAGACGGCATGCTCCCTCTCGTTTCAACGACGTCGGCGGAAGAAAACAACGCGGAAAAGAAAAAAATCGTGGGACGAAACAAGAATATCACCTTGCTTGCTTGCCAGCTTGCAAGGCGACACGCGGAACTTCAGTGGGGCGCATGGCACATACCTTCCTGTTTCCAAATTCGTCGGCTGTGCCCTACTGCTGTACCCTTCCAGCCTACGACAAATGCGTGAAGCCAGGCCGCTGGTGAAGGAATAGGAATGCATCCAAAAAAGTTCAGTTCAACGCCCGAAATCTCTCCGCATTCGCTCACCAATACGTGTTGTAGGACGCTCGATTGGCAGGCGCGGTGGACGGGCGATGGAGCTGGATCCCGGCGATTTTGAGCACAATGCGCTCCCTAGCTATGATTGTTGATCGCCTGCCGTGCGAAAGGACGTGTGTGTGCTGGATGCATGGCGCCATTTTGCATTTCCATGTTGTTGGTCGGTGGCCCCGTACATCAAACAGTCGGGTGGAGCGTGGGGGTGCATATCTCCGGACCGTTCTGCGCGCCGGATACCATAGATACAGCCGGGCGCAGCCCGGCGCGAGCACCCACCAGAGCAGTGCATTTCCGCTACTCCCCACAATAACTCCAACCGACCGCCAACGTCTCCATCCCCTGTGAGGAGAAGAAAAGAGGGGTGCTGGAGGTGTTGTGTACTGGTCAGCAACAGCAGCAGCGGCAGAGCGGACAACCCATAGTTTGGTAAAGTAGGTGTAGTCTATACATCGCACCGGCGTCCTTCAAGCTGTCTAACGACGGTCAGGGTGCTGCTGCTGCTGCTGCTGCTGCTGCTTTTTGCATTCGCTTTGAGGAAGTTGAGGAGTGGGCAGTGGGCAAGGGTGGATTGCTCCGGGCTCTTCGACGCTGCTGCAGTCGCGGGTCGGGAGAAAAAGCGGGGTTGTGGCGATGCGGTGGCGGTGCGGTGGCGAGATGCAGACTACTTGCTGCAGCGGGCAGCATAGTTACTGCTGGTAACGATGCGGCTGTGTATTGAACGAACACCACGATGGCTGGTGGCTGGTGTAACCTACTACTGTAGTGTGCGGAACCGTGAGATGTAGAGGGCGAGACGCATTGCTGGTTGTAGTGATGTTGTTGTGAACTAAAACATGCATATACGTACGTTAGATGCCACCCCCCTCCCCGCCCTTCAGCGCTTGCCGCCGCCGAGTGATTCAAACGAGTCTCAACACAGTCACTCGTCGAGCAGTCGTTCAGATGTTCAGATACATGCATGAGACGTAGATAGTGCCTTTCAGATGCATGCGTAACATGTGCATGGTGCGGTTTTAGTGCTAAGGGCAACAGCACCGGCAAAACCAGCATCACGTCACAGCGAGTATCTTTGAACCACTTTGAGGACGGTAACGAATTTAGCGCAACATGTGTAGCCCCCACTCCCCGTCGTTCAGCCGTTGTTGCTGTTGTGAGTCATGGTGGCGGCACTCCCCGTCATTCAGCCGTTGCTGCTGTTGTGAGAGATCATCCTAGTGGGTTAATCGCACTGTTGTAGCACCAAGAGAGACAGAGTAGAACGCCGACAGCTGGAGGGTTCAAAACATGGCTGTCCGTTGTCGCGGGTGCCCTGCTTGCTGCAGTGCTGGAACACATGTTTGTACGCTTTTTTGCCCCCCGTGCGTGTGAACGTGGTTTTGACGTGTCTCCTGATCGCCCCAGGGTCGAAATCGGCGTGGGCGGCCCGACGTTCATCCGGGCGGGGCCTTGACGCTGCGGTCTTTGCGGTCGGCTTGGTGGGGCTCTCTCTGCTACCTCACCCACCACGGCAGCAACACGTGCGACGGTTACTACAGTGTGTGTCGGCAGGCGGCGGCGGTACGAGGACGGCGGTGCTTTCGCAACCCTCCATGGCGGCCGCGTCGCCCACGACTTCTGCTTCGGCTGCAACAAAGGCCAAGGTTGCCGCTGGCGCGAAAGATACGAAAACGACGGCCGCCACTGCCGGCAGAACCGCCCCCCCTGCAAAAACCGCCGACTACGAGAAAGCCTTGACGGCTATACTAACGCGCCAAAGAAGAAGCCTGTTGCCTCCGCTGCCGCTGCGAAGAAGAAGAGCAAGCCTGCAGCCGCCAAGTTGGAGGGTTCCAAGAGAGTCCTGGTGACGTGATCGTTGAGTCCCCGGCCAAGGCTAGGACAATCACGGAGCTCCTCAAGAAGACCGCCGCTGGCGGAGGCGGCGGAGGCGGAGGGAAGCTGTACAAGGGTTACACCGCGGATGCCTGAAATGACCGAGAAGGGGAGGCCATCAGCTGGCTCCTCGTGCAGGTTCTACATGCTCGTTCTTTCGGTTCATCTTTTCGCGGTTCAGTTATGGCTGTTGTTGTTGCTGATTCGCGTTACCGTTGTTGTTGGTCTTATTGTTGTGGTAGTTTTGTGTCGCCGATATTGTTTTCGTTGTTGTTGTGATCGTGTTGTGGTACTGTTGTGATCGTTTTGTGGTACCGTTGTCGTCGTCGTCGTCGTCGTCGTCGTCGTCGTTGTTGTTGTTGTTGTTGTTGTTGCTGTTTGGTGTTTCATGCCGGCTGGCTTCTCCTTGTGCCCTTTGCTCGCCCTGGGCAAGCCCCAAAGCTAACAGCGGGTGTTTGTCGCGTTTTATGCTCACCTGGCCACCGCTATTGTCGCGTTGTGTCGGTTAGCTGGCAGTTCGTGTACAACCCCGCTTTGCTCTTCCCTTTGTGTTGTGTTTTGTGAGTTGTTTGATATTGGTAGCAACGAACAGCCAAGCGTTGACCAAATTATTGTGATTCCTCGTTTGTGCCTCGCTGTGTGGCTTGTCTGCTACGTCCAAGGACACATCCTCCCGGGGTGTTCCCAGTAACTCGCCCCGCCCCCCCCTTTACAATCTGCACGGGAGCCTCCAACAGTTTGAAGTGAACAAAGAACCGGTAGCACACCCCGCGAAATGTCCCGTGTCACAGGACCGCCACAGAAATGCGTCCAACTTGCCCCTGTTTCTTACGATGTGCATGTGGTGTGTGTGCACTCTTTGTCAACCAGGTCTTGGAACCGAAAGTTCCGGTCGAGAGGGCGGTGTTCCACGACATCACCCAGGAGACACTCGTCAAGGCGTTCGAGGTCAGACGGCAATTCTGTGTTCTGTTGGTGGTGGTTTGTTGGAGTGTTTGTTGTTATTGTTAGTGTTGGTAGTGGTGGCGCCGTGTTGGTTGGTTGCTGTTTGTTGGTGGTGGTGGTGGTGGAGTTGATGACGTTGTCGTTTTGGCGCCTAGAATATCGTTCTTCGACAACTAGTTGCACGGTCATGAGTCAGATTTTCTGTTGGCAACGACAGGGACAAGGGGCCTGCGCCAACGCCGGTGTATACGACGCTACCTCGACGCAACCGGCCGTCCTGCAATAGCTCTCCACCATGTTGTCCGCAGCCACATGACGTCAGGATTCCATGGTTCCATGTTCATATCCTCTCCGACGCCAGCGCACCCTTCTCCGACGACAGCATCGGCGACAACGATGTTGTTCCTATTCAACCACCAAGCCTTGACCGGATCAATCCCCCTTCCACTCCCTCCTATGTACCATGTCGTCAAGGTTGCAAGTTTCGATGATCACGCAAGCATAGAGGCGAGACACAGATGAGGTATCCCCCCCACCCCTCGCGTCTCGTGCGGTGGCTTGCTCGTTCCGTTTTTTGTGTTATTTTGTGGTATTATTCTTCAGGGACCAGGACAGATTGGCGAGAACCTCGTTCAGGCCCAGGAGAAAAGGCCCGCCGCATCCTTGACCGCTTAGTCGGGTAAGAGGAGGAGGGAGGGAGAGGAAGCCATGTGGACAACGGAACGACATTCGCCGGGCCACTGAGTAGAGGGGTCTGGTATGTTTGCGTCCGGGCCGGTCGAAGACAGCGGCTGCTACTGGGGGTTGGGCGGAGGGATTGATGGGCAGGGCGGGGGGTACTCGCTGTGGAGGATTCCGACGGCCGAGTGCGCTTGGCAAGGTGCCCGTGTGGGTGTTCTGGTAGTGAAGTGTTATAGCCATCTTGTGGGATTTTTGCATTGCTTGCGTGCGCGGCGCTCCGGTGCGACAGGCGGACTCGATTTTTCCGTCGCCTGCCTGTCGCAAAATTTCTTGTTTTCTTGTTTTGTGCTACAAATACTCTTGAGGAGTGTTATTGCGTTTCTCAACTCCTCTCACCTCCTCCCCACCCAGCGATACCCATCGCCCCCCCCCCCCCCCCCCCCCATTCAAAAACGACAACTTTTTTAAGGGAACCCCCATCATGAAGGGAAAGCACGCAGCAGCTGGTGGAAGCGGGCGCGGCGTGCGTGGCCGCCAGGTCCCTTCTGTCGTCCGCCGCGAAATACCTCCGTGCCCACCTGTCCCCCACCGGAGGTAGCCCGCTGCTGCCCGAGACCTTCGCGAAGGCTACCAGCAACAACCCACGCAGCGGCGGCGGCGGCGGCGGCGGCGGCGGCGGCAACGTCTATGGCAGCCGCGGAGCACGACGAAGCCACGCCGACGCGGACAGCAGCGATACCGGAGGCGTAGTCGACCTCAACGCGGGGGAGGCATCAGGCCCGGGGTCCTCCTCTCTTCTCTCCGACCTCGTCTGGCGCTACCCTGAGCTCGGAGCAAGAGGCAGGGTTTGTGTCGCCGCGCTCCGCCGGACCGCGCGACAGGTAGCTGGAAGTGGCGGCGGCGGGGGTAAGGGCGGTGGTTCGGCGGGGGTTAGGGGCTCGGCCGCCTCGACGGAGGGGGATGAGGAGGAGGAGAGAGCGGCGACGCGGCTTGAGGGAGGGCTGAGCCTGGGTGAGGACACTCGTGTATGCCCGCGCGGCATATGGGGGGGGGGGGGTCACGGAGCCTTGCGGAGAGCTGACTATAAAGTCGAGACTGTACCGTGGGACTCCGTTCTCGCTAGGTCGTTCTGGGCGACAGACTGGAGTCGTGGTTGCATCTATTGGACAATCCAATACCTACTGGGGTGTAACGTCGTATTTTTACCTGCTGGCACTGTTTGTCCATGTGCAACAGTAGAAATTTTATTCTGGGCGGCGGCAGGTGGGATGCCGCCTCTCGTGGTGTAGCAGGTATGTTTAGGTCCGACGGCTAAAACGACACGAAGTTACCGGTTTCTCGTGGATTGCTTCTCGTTCTCGGTCATGGGAGATGACGACCTCCGTGCTCTGAGAAGGGCGGGGGAACATCTGTCGGGTCTTGGTTCCTAGGTTCACTTAGTTCTGTCGCTCGTTCTTCGTCTCGTCTTACCACTTTTCACGCCACAACATCGTTACCGTTCTCCCCGCACGCCATGTCATGTCACGCTCGTACGACCTAAAAAAACAACCCATCAAGAGTTGATGCCTCTGGAGTGCTTGTGCCGCCTCGTCAACGCCGACGTGGAGAACTACGTTATCGCCACCTCAACAGCGGCGATGGCAACATCACCAACGACGGCATCGTCACCCCGAGGCGAGGAAGAAACGTCGAGCACCAGCAACGGCCGCTACGTCGAGAAGAATGACGGAAGATGCCGGTCAGCAGAGGACACAGCAATGGCAACCTCCACGACAGCAATGGGGAGTCTCATGGACGGCGTGAAGACACCTTCTGTCGTGCTCGTGGCGTACGTGGAGCTGCTCAGGACGCTTGTCACACGCCTCGAAAGCGGCGGTGCTCGCGAGGGGGGGGCGGCCCTCGAAGAAGGGGGGGCGGGCGGTGGGGGGCCCGCGGGGGTGGCGCTGGGGGTGCGGGCGCTAGACCTGGAGACGCTGTTTCGGTGAGATTTGGGGGTCTATCGTGTTGTAAGGGTCACCTTCCTCCCTCCCTCCCTCCCTCCCTCCCCCCCTCTCTCTCTCTCTCTCTCTCTCTCCCTCCCTCCCCCTCTCTCTCTCTTTTTCTCTCGCTTTCTCTCTCCCTCCCTCCCTCCCTCTCTCCCTCTTCCATGTATTGCTGGACTGCGAGTTGCACGCGTAGCCTGTCCGTTTCCGTGCCGTGAGAGAACGATAGCTGTGTGCCGCTTCGAAAAGGATGCCTAGAATGGGTTGACCTACAGTTGTCACGAGCGACCGAGAGAGAGAGAGAGAGAGAGAGAGAGAGAGAGAGAGAGAGAGAGAGAGAGAGAGAGAGAGAGAGAGAGAGAGAGAGAGAGAGAGAGAGAGAGAGAGAGCTTCTTGTTGCGCGGCTTTCGGCGGTGTATCGACCGGGGGGCCGAGCGTGTTTTGTTAGGGCTGCAACGGCGGTGTGGATGTATCATATCGAAACTTTCTTGTTCCTTCTCGTTATCCTGGCCGGGTAGATTTTCACCCTCAGACCCATGTTTATGGTCGCCAAATCTTTGCGAAAATGTTTATATTTTCAAACATTTGCGGACAAAGATTTTGTTTCACTGTTTATGGGAGAAAATCTTCGGCAAAATATTCTCAAACATTTTGAAATGGGGCAAAAGTCGCTCGTTTGACAAAATATTCCCAAACATTTTGAAATGGGGCAGGTCGCGAAAATGTTTCCCAAGAGCGGCGGGATTAGTAGACGACCGCCCCTTCCGTCCTAAACACCAACCACTGCGCAGCGCACACTCAACGTAGCAAGCTCATAGAGGGATCCGGACAACCCTAGAGTCACCGTGTCAATGTTTTGCCGGCTGATACATGGCGGGAGCTCGTCAAGCGTGCACAAAAAAACAAACAGACAGGGGTGGTTTGGAGGGCACGGAGAAAGCGTGGTTTGTGTCTCCGAACGGCAAAAAGTCGTCTGCTTGAGAGGAGAGGCGAGTACAAAACTATCCAGCTCTCGTCCTCTAGACCATCAATTCATGTTTTGTTTTCTTTGGTGTCTTCTCCATCAACAGCTCTCATCCGGGTGTGCGTGGTTCAGCAGTGGACTTACTCAACAGGCAGGGAGGCGCGTCGCTGTGAACTCGATGTGTTGAAAAAGTCTTCTTTGAGACCGAAAAAAACGTTGTGTCCACAACTTTGCGCGCACAACGATGTGCCTCCCTGCCGGCTGAGCGCGGCCACTGCCAACCCACGCACAACCGGATGAGAGTCGTTGATGGAGAAGGCACCCAAGAAGACAAAACATGAATCGATGGTCTAGAGGACGAGAGCTGGATAGTTTTGTACTCACGTGTCCTCTCAAGCGGCCAACTTTTTGCCGTTGGGAAGCGCTGACGCACGTTTTGGTCTCTTTTTGACACCGAGAACATTTTTTCTCGCACGCCCGGAGCGCTATCGCTACATATTGGCGGGCACAGCATCAGCTCAGTGCATCAAGGGTTGTGGGGAGCCCTTTGCGAGCTCGTTACATTCAGTTTCCATGACGCATTTGTGGTTTGTCTGTCACAAATCGTTTGGTAGCAGTAGACCACGATTCCCGCCGCACGTGCGATGCATTTCGAGAAAACCACACGATAAAGATATTTTTGCCCATAAACGGTACTCAAATGTTCCTCGGGCAGATATTCGCGCGCAAATGTTTGACAACATTTGAAGATTTTTTTCAAAGATTTGGCGACCATGAACATGGGTCTTACTACATTCAAATAACGTACCAGTGTGTCCATTTGATACTCGCCGCTCGCGCCTTCCTCATCCCCCGCTTGCGCTGTCGCCGTTTGTTAGATAGCGCCGCACCGTGTTTTCCCTCTAACCCTACCGTTTCCGATGCGGTCTTTCTCCTCTTCAGCGGGACTGTCAAGTGCAGCAAGGCTCTGCCAATCCTGCGCAAGGCGCAGGCGACCTCCAAGACCGCCCTCCTCGCCAAGCTCACCCCTCAGAAGCGACGACGAGAAAGCTTCGCCGCGTTGCAGAACAAGAAGAAGACATCGGTGTCTGCGCAGCGACGGAACGGTCGCAACAGCAGCGGCGGTGGGCGGGCGGCGGCGGCAGCGAGCGCAGAGACAACCAAGCGCCGAACCCGCTCCATTGACGCCTCCCGCGGCGGGGGGTCTAGGGGCACCGCGCGATGGCTCGGCGGCGACAGTGTGAGGAGGCGGGGGGGGAGAGGGGTTATCGGTGGGCTTCGAGGGGTCATGGAGGGCGGAGACAGCGACAGTGACGATGAGGAGGAGGAGGAAGAGGAAGAGGATGAGGTGGTTTTCTCGGACGAGGAGTCTAGGGATTCTGAGTGGAGTTCTTCGGAGACGGGTGAGGGGGGGTGAGGGCGAGAGGCGTGCCCGGCGGTTTGAACACTTCTCAAGAAACACCTCAATTCTGTTCTTGTCAACAACAAGACTGTGTGTCTCCCGATCACTCTGTTGAACAATCTTGAGGAGTTCTAGCGCGCTTTCGGTCAGTCGCCCCAAGCCCTCAGGCTCGCATGATGCCAACATAATTACTCTACAAGTACGCAGCGAACGAGTTCTCGCGTATTAAATACTGCAAGAGTAATATTCTAGCACTACAGTACATCATAGAATGATGTTTTTTGCATCACACAAGAGTAGATACGGCCTTGCCTCCAACCCTTTTCGCTCCTCCTCTCCTCATCAAAAGCGGACGACACTTCCGAAGACGAAGACAGCTCGAGCGACGAATCGGACCAGGAGGCAGAGGACGAACCCCGTTACCCCCGCGCCTCCACCCCCAAGGGTAAGAGAAGAGCGGCGGCGGCGGCGGCGGCCAGGACAGCCAAAAAGACGGGGGCGGGGGGTCCATGGAGCGAGACACCCGCTGGCGCTCGCAGGGCCGGCGGTGCGAGCTCTTCCGTCGCCGCTGGCGGCGGCAGGACAGCGGACGTCGAGGCCAACCCTTGGGAGGGCCTGCCCGGGCTGAGCCTTTGTCAGTTCTGGCGGTACAGGCTGTTGCTGGAGGTGGTGCTGGCGGCGAGAGGGGGTGACGGCGGTGGGGATGAGCGCAGCGACGGTGGGGGGTGGGCCGAGCTCCCCCGGACGGAATTTGTGGAGGTGAGAGGCAGCAACGGCATCGGGGGTGGGAGATTTTGGAGCGGGAGGATTGTTTTGCATGCCTCAGTTGTTAGTTAGACGATGGACCAGGGAAGGGTTGTCGTTTGTGTACGTAGATAATGTGCGCCATGGCTACCAGACAAAGACGCGCGTGGTAAATGAAAAAATCCTGTCGAGATGACTGTTCTGTAACGCACTAGAATCCATCCCATCCAATTTCTACGAAGGGTGCATGTAAGGAAGTCGCTGGCTGGTGTACGCTAGACCTTCGTGCTTGACTCGATGGCTGGCGTGGCCGCTTTCTCGATTTCTACTTTAGGTCATGAAGCAGCTTGCCGCGGCTACCTCTTCCCGTCCGGCCTCGACCGCCGCCATCGACGAGACCGGCGGCGGCGGCGGCGATGACCTTTACGATGCCGAGGACGTGGTATTCTCGGAGCTGTCCGAACAGCACGACAAGGCGGAAGACGGACTCTTGGCAGGTGCGCTCCCAGAGGTTGTACAGAGCACACCGCGTGGTTGACCCTGTCTGTCTCTTGCCAGTAGGTCTCGCCGCACGGCAAGTAGTACTGTAGTAATCTTGGTCTCAACGACCGATGTCCGTGGCGTGTCGTGAATGATTTGGTCCAACCTGTTATCTAGTTTTTCGGACGTTTTCTGTTTTCGAATCGGCGAGGCTGGGTGGGTTAAGCACGGGCGGGCCCAGCATTTTTTTTTCTTTCTCTCGTGTGGTTCCACGGCTGACAACAGCAGCCGTTAAGTCGGTGTTTCGCGTTCACGCTTTCATGGTACCGGGTCAAGTCCTGTAGAGTGCAGGTGCAGCACGACGAGGATTTTCTGCCGATTTGCTTGCGCCGTGGAGTCAAAGCCGCGACGAAGGACGAGGCTTTTTGTCTTGTCTTCTGGAGGGTTGGGCACCGCACAACACATGAGTGTTCGTGCCAGTGATGAGACGTGTGTTAAGGATCGATCGTGAAAATAGGTGTTTGTTGCAAGCGCTCGTAGGCTTCTGAACAATCGTGAGAGGCAAGCCTGTGCCCAGCCAAATTGGCTCGCCTCTTCGGCGAAAAGTATTGCGGCAGTCTTCATTTTTTTGTCAGTTCAGTCGACGGCTTTTGATCATGTGGGGACAGCAACTGCGGCGATATTCCCGAAACCGCCCGATCTTACTCTACCAACCTGCCTCCGGCCCCCATTCTTTGGTTCGTCCAAATCGGAAAACTCCGCTTGCGTTGTTCGGAGATTTCGGAGATTTCCGGTCATATTCTAGCAATAGCTTCTCGCGGGGGAACACGAAACGCCAACTTCTACCACCACTTGTCACCCATCACACCGAACCACATCACACCGAACCACATCATACCGAACCAACGTTTGTCAGCATGCACAATCTGCATAGCGTACTTTCTATTTCAAAGACGGGCTCCCTCGACGCCGCCGTCCCCGACACGGAATCGCAGGCATGGTGGTGGAGGTGCTGGCCGCGCTGTCCGCGGGACTCCCGAGGTCGGAAGAGGCGGCCGTGCTGTCGTGGAAGGGGCTGCGTGCAGTGTATCCCCGGGGTTACGGTGCCGGCTATTCGCGCGTCGGAGGGGTCGTTGGGGGCCTTCGAAGGTATCAAATCAACACTTGGAGACGTTGTTTGGAGCGTTTCTAGTCTAGATGGATGGAGGCGTGTCGTTTTATTTTTTGTTATTGGCGCAGTTTCAAAGGCGCGTGGAGCGTGAAAATGCCAAGCCTGGTCCTATTGCCTGTTTTTGGTTCATGGCGAGGGTATTTGTTTGTGTGCCGCACGGCGGTCATGACGGCTTCTGCTTCGGCATTCGAGCGTGGCAGCGGCCGCGCTGAGCACCTAGTTCGGAGCCATGTCGTACGTTCGCATGGGCTGAAATAGAGGCAGTCTTCAATAATCTTGTCTTAACCTTATGTTAACCCCTTGCTCTCTAGGCAACATGAGACGAGCACTAGGCACCTAACAGCTCGGATTGAAGATTGATTCACATCGCCCATCCTGATTTATCCCCTTGCTCCCCCTCCCGCTCGCCGCCTTGTTTTTTTTTTTTTCCTTTTTTTCTCGCAGGCAGGGAGCGTCCCTGCTGTCGTCCCCTGTCTCTCTGCGATTCTTCCTCCACCTCCACCGGTACAGCGGTACCACCAGGTGTGCTTCTCTTTTCAGTTTGTTTGGGCGTTCTCGAGCTTCGTATGCGGGTCGGCGGCGGCGGCGGGAGTGTTCTAAGCTCTGTCAGCCATAAGGGCGCTCCTGCGGCACCCGAAGTCCCGAGAGGTGGTTTGTTGTAATCGGTCTGCCGTACACGCCCGCGGTGCGAGGTTGAGAGCTTACCCCACGTCTGTGGGCAAGACTCCCGCCCGCCTGTTTCACACCGTTACCACTGTTTGGGCCTGCCTGTGGGTGTACGGCGTGGTGATGGCCTGACACGAACGGGCTCCGCGAGGTACACACCTCGCGCCATCCTCCCTGAACAACCGTCGCCCCCCCTCCCCAATGGAACCCCATGTCTTGCACCCACCCCCCCCCTTTCCCTCGTAGTCGTCTCCGGGGACAGCTGCAGTTTCCCCCGCACATGGGAAACGCCTCCGTGATGCTCTCGAGGACCGGTTTGCCCGCCCTACCGTTCCTGCAGCACGCGCTCCTGACGCACTGGGCGCTGTCCGGAAGGATGGGGAGGGCGTGGGGTCTAGCAGCTGCCGTGGTCGACATGGAGGCGTTCGTGCTGGGGAAGACGGGTAGGTCCGTCGATAGGTCAGATTTTCGCCTCGCCCTTTCTTTTTTTTTCGTCCGTTGAGGTTGGCTGTGATTTACGAACCATATCCCCATGGGCCCATCTTTGACCATGGGACAATCTGTGACCCATGGAACACCTCTCCACCACTGGCTGCCGCACGCCTAAGTTGACAAGCAGCTCGGCTTGCACACGGGTGTGCGCGTGTGGCTCAGCGTACTATCCCCCCCTCCCCAAGCCGTAAGGTATTTTGAATAGCCCTCCGCGCGCCCTGCCCCCACCCTCCCCCGCCTCTGCAGGTCCAACCTGCAAGAGCAGCGAGGAACCTGCGTTCAGACGACAGTCATCGTCAGCCAGACACAAGGCGACACCCTCCTCTTCCTCTTGGTCGTCATCGCCGCCCACGCCGACGCCCGTCCTCTCCCAGGAGAACTTGGACGTCTTCATCGCCGCCGTGGTGAAGCTGTTGCCGACAAGCCTCGCCCTAGCCTCGCCGCAAAAACCACTGACGGGACCCCCAGCAACAAGTGTCCGAGGCGGCGCGACACGGAACGATGTGACGGGTAGCGGAGTCATCTACGCCGAAAGTGGATCCAGAGTAAGGGGGCCCATCCCCGGGGTTTCCAGCAGCCCTTACGAGGAGCTGGAGTGCCTCGGCATGGTGCTGGAGTGTCTGGTAGAAGCGTGCATCGAGAGCCTGTACAACGGGGCGTGGTGAGTGAAAGGATCAGGATCAGGATCCCTTTTTGCAGGGGTCGTTTCTTGGCCTTGCCTTCCTGCTGGCCTTGGCTTTGCGACGGCGGTCTGTTTTGTCCCCCACGGGTGCATGGTGCCGTACGCTTTTTGACTCTGTCGATCTCCCCGTCCGTCAATTGTTAAAGAGTCGGTTAGACACAAAAGGTTCGGACGCGAATGACCACTATACTTTATGGCTCCTGTGGCGTGTCGGGTGTTCGTCCAATGCGTTGTTGTTTCTCAGACCTAGAACTACCTGTAGTCTATGCAGAGCGTGGTCAAAATGTTGCTCTTTTTTTTTTGGAGAGAGACACGGGAGTCTGTCGTCGTAGCTCGCACTGCCTGTTGTCGTTTTCTTCTTCAGAGCATGCTGGTAGAGTGGCGAACACGCTATTTACAACCGATGCCTCCTTCGTTTATTGCAGAAACCACGCCCCCCCCCCTCGGACTCACTCGCCGCCGGGTACACCTACTGATGGCCTTGCGATGTTCCACTTGGTCTTTTTCGTGGGTCGTTGGCGGAACAGGAACTCGTCTGCGGGAGCGGAAGAGCTAACAGCACTAGGCAGGCTGCTGCGGCGGTGCGTGCTGCCCGTGGCCTTGTGCTGCTCCAAGACCCTCAGGTAACGTACATGGTTTGGCCTCTTCTACTTCAGGCTGTTCATTTGTGTTTGTGTTTGTGTTTGTGTTTGTGGTTGCTGAGCTCGGCGTGCAGCAAAACATACGACTTGCTTGTTTAGCAACCGATGTCAAACCACTACTAGCTCCGTCAGCGTCACGCCGTGTGACCAGACAACATCGTCAGCACTGACTGGTCGAATGGTTTTATTTGGGATGCTAAAGGCCGCAGGCGGAGGCTTTTTGTCGCCCTGTAGTAGGTCACTCCTCTGCGCTGCACGCGTTCTCTGGGTACATACGACGGCACACACGGAGCTTTCTTCCGGGAACTTTCTGGCATGAGCTGCTCTGTACTTTCCTAACGCCTCCTTCGCTCCGTCCTTGTTGGATAGAGGGCTTGCTGCTTTGCCCCCCAGGTCTTCGTATGAAGGCCGAAGAAACGTTTCGAGAATGTTCATGACGCCATGGCGCAGCTACATGTAGGATGCCTGGTAGTGAATGGGGCCGCCGGCCCTTCCCAAAATCATGCACAATAGCCCAACACTCAAATGTATCCACACACGCAATATGTTTCGTGTTCCATGTTTTTTTATCCCGCTACAAGACGTGCGTCTTTTTAGTCGGTCAGCCGGTTAGCGCAGTCGATGCTAATTCGAAAACACACGAAACGTTGACTTTGTAGGACGCTAGAGAGCCAACTGGAGCGAGCTCTCGCCTGGAGGTGTTCCCAAACGTTGGACGTGAAAGGCGTGCGGGATAGGGGAAAGAGTGCTACTGTCCCCGGTGGTTCAACCGAGGGGGTGGACTTTGGTGCGGCGAGGCTGTGCAGAGGGCTGCTGGAGCAATGCGATCTGTGTGCCGACGCCGTCAGGATGCTTGGCACGGCGGTGAGCCTGGCAGCGAAAGTGTGTGCTGCAGCTAGTGGGCGCGGTGCAAGTGCCGCGTACATAGCATGGGCGCGGCTGAATTTGGCGACACGTGTGTTGGAATTTCAACCTATTTCGACCGTAGTTTTCGTCCCTCTCCGCTTCCATTTCCTGGTGGCGGAGTGTTTTTTTTTGTTTGCCGACATGCGACGTGGTTTCGATCTCAACACGTTGAAACTTTACTCTCGTCTGTCTTTCCCCCCCCCTTCCCGCTTTAGGTTCGCTCTGCGACTTTTCCTGAAGAGAAAGACGGGGGTGCAGATGCCCCCTCTGCCCTGAGACCCCACCGGACCGTTCGAGACCGCATCGTCAAGGTGACCGGAGAAACAGCAGCATACGGAGGTCCTGATTTCTGCTGTCGCACGTGATGGCCACACCGTAGACTCCCTGCTGCGTGCCCCCCTCCCGCCATTGGTTCGTCGGGCATGCATGCCTATCTGTTAGCGATGTCGCTGACTTTATCGCGCCCACTCTCTCCCCTTTTGCCCCTCGCGTCCTCACTCTACATGCCGTGGCATGTCCGCCCACGAAAATTACCAGATCCTTCCCGGCGCGGTGTTGCAGAGCGATCAGCTCTCCGCCGCGGTGGATCACGCTCGCGGGGTGCTGCAGCTGCCGCGGAAGACCGGGCGAGACGACGACGACGACGGGATAACCGGGGACAAAGACGAAGCGTCCCCTGGTCACAAGCTTCCCAGATTGACGTCGAAAACCTCTAGTAGGAGAGGAGCGTCCGAGCGCCTCTTGTCGCGATTTGCTGCTGCTGCTGCTGCTGCTGCTGCTGCTGCTGCTGCTGCTGCTGCTGGCGGCGGCGAGGGGCAAAGAGGAGAGGTTGGGGGGATGGTAGCGGATACCCGGAGGGGAGGCGTCGTGAGAGTGAAGTTGGGAGGAAAGAGCTTGTTGAGCCTTGGCGCAGAGCTGAGGGTGTCCTGGGCTGGAGTCGAGCCGTCCAACAAAGACGTGGGTCGCAGGTGAGCACGGCTAGAGCGGTACCTTAAGCGGGATGCTTCCCACCCACCCCCCAGTCTACGAGGACCGGTGTTGCAAGACAAGAGAAAGCAGGAAGCTAAGAGCATGATGTCACCACGGTGGTTCGGTGTGGCTTGGATAAGCATACTCCAGAGTAACTCGTGGTCATCCGTTGTTGGAGTTTCAATTGCCCTGCATCTCTCCCAACTTTCTGGTGATTCCGACTTCGTTTCCTAGGCTTGGAACCCCCGCCAGCAGAGAACAAGTACTGCTGCAGAGCAAGCTTGGAGGTAGTCAGTCCTTTGCCCCTACCCCTCTGGCCACGAGCGTGTCGTCGCTTGAAACCGGACAAGGAAAGTCTCGCTATCCTGTACTCCTATTTTGCAACATTGCGACGATGCATCCAACGGTCACGATCAAGGCTGCACCCGGTGCATAGTTTAGGCACGCGTTTTTGTACCTTTGCGGTACATACGTGGTAGCACACTTTGCTTGATTGAGTGAACGAATGCCCCCCTTCCCCCCGCCGCGCGTCCTGTAATTTTGCCGATTTTTTTCGCGACCGTTCGTTTTACGACGCTCCTTCTTCCAACACTCGAACGCCCTTCTCCCGCCTAGCAGAGAGGCAAGCACGCCATTTGCAGCAGCAGCACCGACGCTCGCTTCGCAATCATCGCGCCCGGCACCTTCGACTCCCCGTGCTGCTGACTCGGTAGAATGGTGGCGGCGACAGCAGGGGCAGCCCCACGGTGAGTCTCCCAACACAGCGACGAGCCGAGCGGCAGCCCAAGCCGTCACCCCAGGCGTAATTTTCGCCGGCACCAAGGTTAACGCCGCTGAGCCTTCTTCGTGGGTAGAAGAAGCGGTGGAAGGCGGTAGCAGTGCGGTAGAGAGAGCCGGTAGCGGTGGGGTGGGGTGGGGTCCGTTGTTCTTTCCGCGGAATGGCGCCGGAGAAAGCAGCAGCGAGAGGCGGGAGGGGGCCCCGGGGGACGAGACGACCGGTAGTCGGATGAGCCCAGGGGATGGCGGCGACGTGCATGGAGAGGGTGGATTCGAAGCGTGTGAAGAGGAAGAGGAGAAGGAGGAAGAGGTAGACCAATTTCGGGTGGTTGGAGGGTGGGGCACTTTTTCGTAGGGCGGGGGACAAGCGCGAGGTTTTGTGGCGTGATGGGTAGGCTGCTGCTGTAGGAAAGGAATTGTGTTGCTACTGTCGGCATGGTTCTGCTGTTTTGATGTACCGCCGCGAAGCGGTTTTGCTTCAATTTTTTGCCGGTGGTGTTCATTAGGTAAATTTGTGCCCCGTCTCAAACGTTGAGTGGTATACCGACTTCAGAAAAATGCAAGGTCTTCTTGCCGTCGCGACGTAAGGAGTGCAAAGTCTACATGTTGTGGAGCGGAACGTCCTGCGTTCAGTGTTTGACGCCACCTGCTTGCAACAATTTTTGGCCGGTACAACTACAGTAGCAGGCTCGACGTTGCGAGGCACGGTTTCCTCTGTTCGCTCACTTAGCGTTGGTAATAAAGATGTCAAGTCGTTCCTACTGGTCACCATTGGGTGCCGCTGATTTCTGATTAGCCGAAATTGCATCAGTCATGTAGGAAACAATCTGGCGGTGTCTCGCGTCGTCTGGTGTTTGGGCAGGGAGTTACAGGGAGGGCAGCTAACGACGCTCGTCGTAGGGCGTTGCAGTGTAGACACATTAGCGTGGTGACGGAGCCGACGTATGTACGATAGTGTATTTTGGCCGTCCATTTTGCACAGCATGTGCTAAGAACCATGTGCGAAGAAGACTGCTGTTGTGAGTTTTAGTTCTCGTCCTCATCTCGCCCCCGCGCTAAAAAATGACAAAACATGAAAACATAAAGGTCGCCATCGGCTGTAGCCCGCGAATGTCACCCGCCCCGCGCACGCAATCTCCCGCCATATTTCTGGCGACCCGAAGCTAGCAGCTGTCTCTTCGCCGTTACTTCTCATTGCCTACCACAACACGGCTCGACGAAACCATTGATGCAACACATTCTCCTCTCTGTCTCAGCAGCTCTTGTTTAACGCACAGCGACAAGCTGTACCCAATATTTGCCAACTGCCGGTTTCACAAGGCCCAACTGCTCAATACCAAAAGGTACAGCACGCCATGGCACCGCTGCACTGTACTCGCTCGTGATCGTAACCCAACAGTAAAAACACAGAATAAATGCAGGGCGCATCACCACCACGTGATAAAAACGAACTTGTGCAAGAATGCATGCAACAGGGAGACAGCGTGTTCGCGACAACGGCATCCTTTTCAAAACGCAGACAAGCAACGAAGAAGGCGTCCTCCTAAAACTGGGGGGTTTCAGTCACGACTTAAAAAAATATCACTAAAGAAATGCGATGTGATGTTTTTACAATTCCAGTATCACAAGATTATCCTTACCCGTCTTGCGCGTGGCTGTGTTTTCACCACCTTGCCTCACCTCTACGAAACACGTTGCCCTTGGAAGGGAGCACGGTCCCTACAATGTAGGTACGAACTGATCTCACGCCCAGTACAGCGCAAAACAAGCGCTGGGCACAAAGGCACCATAGCCAAAGAGAACCATGGATGGGTCATCCTTGTCGATAACAACGAAATTTGCCAGAATTGTTCGACACCACAGGCAGTCGCCGTGGACATGAGCCAGATATGCGACGCCAAGATATACGTCACACATTTTCGCTCATGCGAGATTGTCCCCTGTCTTCTTCATCGCGTCGGCAATGACTGCTAATGCAGCCAGCTTCTTCCATCTCGTCCTCACACCTGCAACATACGAAGTACACAGACCAGACCATGGCATTCTCAGTTGTATTATAGTGTCAAGCCTTGGCGCGATCGTCGTGCATGAGGCTTGCCTACAAGACGGTCCTAAGTGTGCACGAACCTGCTCTCGCACAAATTCCAGGTCACTCCGAGTCCCCACTGTGTCCGGGTGGTTCTCACCAAGCTTCTTGGTACGGATTCTGAGGGCCCTCTCCAATAGTGGAAGTGCCTCCGTGTGCTTCTCCTGCGGACGATTGAGATTGAGACGCAGGGTTGAGAACCAAATTGGGTGCGCAAACGGTTTAACAACTGCCGTGACTACTTTTGTCGTCCAAGCCATTGGCAACTGATGTCACCGTTCGTTCAGTAAGCCCGCCGGCTTAAGCGAATTCACGGTAAGACAACGAAGCGCCTCACCTAATTGTCCCAAAACGTCCTGAGGACGCCACAAAACAAAACCGGAATGTTGTTTCGAGATGGGCTGTCAACATCCCCGCCCGGTTGTGGAGCACCACATGTACAACATCCACAGGGCGCCAAGAGAATTCTACTGGAAAGGTCGGGCGGCTCTCACCTGCACTCTCAACAACTCCGCCCGGTTGTTGAGCGATGCGGCCAAATCAGGGTGCTCTGGACCCAGCATCTTCTCTCGAATGGCCTGTGACCGCTCATACAGCGGCTCGGCCTCCTCATACTTCCCCTGGAATGCAGTCGACGGCGTAGCAGGGTCGTGTTTCAGCACGAGTCGGGTCTAGAACTGCGGAGGAACATTTTCTACTTGAAGCTCCTACCGTATGTACAACAACCGCCGGGCGCCAAGAGAATTCTACTGGAAAGTCCTGGCGGCTCTCACCTGCACTCTCAACAACTCCGCCCGGTTGTTGAGCGATGCGGCCAAATCAGGGTGCTCTGGACCCAGCATCTTCTCTCGAATGGCCTGTGACCGCTCATACAGCGGCTCGGCCTCCTCGTAATTCCCCTGGAATGCAGTCGACGGCGTAGCAGGGTCGTGTTTCAGCACGAGTCGGGTCTAGAACTGCGGAGGAACATTTTCTACTTGAAGCTCCTACCGTATGTACAACAACCGCCGGGCGCCAGGAGAATTCTACTGGAAAGTCCTGGCGGCTCTCACCTGCACTCTCAACAACTCCGCCCGATTGTTGAGCGATGCGGCCAAATCAGGGTGCTCTGGACCAAGCATCTTCTCTCGAATGGCCTGTGACCGCCCATACAGCGGCTCGGCTTCCTCATACTTCCCCTGGAATGCAGTCGACGGCGTAGCAGGGTCGTGTTTCAGCACAAGTCGGGTCTAGAACTGCGGAGGAACATTTCTGCTTGGAGCTCCTAGAACATGCTTTGACTTTTCATCTGGCTCACTACAACCCCCGCCCGGTTGTTGAGCACCGTATGTACAACACAGGGCGCCAAAAGAATTCTACTGGAAAGGTCTGGCGGCTCTTACCTGTGCCACCAACAACGACGCTCGGTTGAGTAGCCAGGTCGCCAGGTCTGGGTGGTCAGGGCCCAGCTTATTTTTGCCGATCTCAATAGCTCGAAGGTACAGAGGGTCCGCCTCAGCATACTTCCCCTGGAAGGGGAGGAGGGGAAACAACGAAAGGGTTGTAAACAAAGGCTTGGTACAGCATATTGCCGAGGAAAAAACGCTCAATCATTCCCGCCCCGGTTGTTGAGCGCCTAGAACCATCGGGCTCGCTCCGGACCCAGCGCCTCTGGCTGTGATCGTTCATAAAGTGGCTCGTCCTCGACGTACTCACACTGTCCAATACAAGTGGATTCGGTCAGCCAGCTTTCTACCAAAAACCGAAGTACTTCACATAGTAAATTGAACCCTACCACATATCCAGGACATATCCTTTGGCAGTTATACTACCTGTGTCTCCAACAACCTCCGTCCAGCTGCTGAGGTCTGTAGCGACCTTCGGGTGATCAGGACCGTACACGTTCTCGTCGATAGCCAACGAGCGTTTGAATAGTGGCTCGGCTTCCACATACTTCCTCTTTTGAATACCGTTGACCGCGTAGCAGGGTTATTTTTTGTATAAGTCGGATCTAAAACTGAGGAACATTCTCTCTGGAAGCATCTAGCAGCGTCGTTTGGCTCTCACCTGGTCGTACAAAAACAAAGCCCGGTTGTTGAGCGATGCGGCCACATTAGGGTGCTCTGGACCCAGCATCTTCTCCCGTATGGCCTGTGACCGCTCGTACAGCGGCTCGGCTTCCTCATACTTCCCCTGGTATGCAGTCGACGGCGTGGCAGGGTCGTGTTTCAGCACAAGTCGGGTCTTGGCACTGCGGAGGAACATTTTCTGCATGAAGCTTCTACGACATCGTTTGACTTTTCATCTGGCTCATCAACAACCCCCTGCCCGGTTGCTGAGCCTGGTTGCCAGGTCTGGGTTGTCAGGGCCCAGCGTTTGCTCTCCGATCTCAATAGCTCGAAGGTACAGAGGGTCCGCCTGTAAACCAAGGCCTGGTACCGCATATTTGCCAAGCAACAAAGGACCAATCATCCCACCACGGTTGACGAGCGACTGGGCCACATCGAGGTTGCTCCGGATCCAGCGCCTTTTCTCCCATTGGCAATGATCGGTCGTAAAGTGACTCGGCCTCCTTGTACTTCCCCTTTGAAAAGCAAGGTGGTTCGGTTAGCCGGCGGTCTACTGAACAACGAAATATTTCACACAGTAACTTGAACGCTACCCGATTTCCAGGACACATCCTTGGTCTCTCACCTGCATTCTCAACAACGTCCCCCTGTTGTTGAGTCTCGTGGCAAGAGCTGGGTGGTCAGGGCCGAGCGTCTTCTCCCCAATCTCAATAGCTCGCAGATAGAGAGGGTCGGCTTTGTCGTACTTGCCCTGTGTAGGAAGCAGTGGGGTGGAGTAAGCGAGTGGGGGAGAGAGAACCAAACTCTCAAAACAAGTGTGAACTACGAAAAAGTTTGGACGGCTCTCACCTGCCTCTGCAACAACCCCGCCCGGTTGTTGAGCGCTGTGGCCACGTTCGGGTGCTCAGGACCTAACGCTGTCTCCCAAATCTCGGTCGCCCGCCTGTACAGAGGCTCGGCCTCGGCGAACTTACCCTGAGACGTGAAGGGCAAGCATGTCAGAAGTGTGGTCAATGCTAGCGGGGATTGACAACGGACTAACAATTGCTCAACAACCCCGCCCGGTTGTTGAGCGCTGTTGCCACCGCAGGATGATCAGGCCCGTAGACATTCTGGCGGATCGCAAGGGAACGTTCATACAACGGCCCTGCTTCGTCGTACTTGCCCTAAATCACGAGGGACGAGCGGGATGGGAGGTGTGGTTATTGCTATTATAGGACACTGCGGAGGAACAATTGCTCTACAACCCCGCCCGGTTGTTGAGCGTTGTGGCTAGACTTGGGTGCTCAGGGCCTAGAACCTTCTCCTCTATCGCCTGACACCGCTCATAGAGTGGCTCAGCCTCCGAGTATTTGCCCTGGATGCAGTGAGGACAGCGTGGTGGAGTCGTATTTCAGTCAGAAAATCGTAAATGGGATTGTGGAGAACCATTTTCTCAACAACCACGCCCTGTTGTTGAGCGCTGAAGCATAGTTAGGATGCTGTTCGCCAACTGTGGCACCTAGGATCTCCAGGACTCGGACATAGAGGGGGTCAGCGTCTTCGTACTTGCCCTACGGAGACGGGGACGCAGTGAGAGCGGTCAACATTAGTAAAACTAGCAGCGGAGGAACAATTGCTCAACAACCCCGACCCCGCCCTGTTGTTGAGCACTCCCGAAATCTATCGGGTACCACAAGAAACTTCCTGGAATTTTCTGATGGCTCTCACCTGCGCTCTCAACAACTCCGCCCGGTTGTTGAGCGATACGGCCACATTAGGATGCTCAGGACCTAACGCTGTCTCCAAAATCTCGGTCGCCCGCCTGTACAGAGGCTCGGCCTCGGCATACTTACCCTGAGACGTGAAGGGCAAGCATGTCAGAAGTGTGGTCAATGCTAGCGGGGATTGACAACGGACTAACAATTGCTCAACAACCCCGCCCGGTTGTTGAACGTTGTGGCCAGACTTGGGTGCTCAGGGCCTAGAGCCTTCTCGTTTATCGCCTGACACCGCTCATAGAGTGACTCAGCTTCCGAGTATTTGCCCTGGACGGAGTGAGGACAGCGTGGTGGCGTCGTATTTCAGTGAGAAATCGTAAATGGGATTTTGGTGCAAGTGGGATCTAGAACTGCGGATGAACATTCTTTTCAAGAACCATCTAGAAGCGTCGTTTGGCTCTTACCTGACTCTCCAACAACCCCGCCCTGTTGTTGAGTGTTGTGGCAAGAGCTGGGTGGTCAGGGCCTAGCGTCTTCTCCCCAATCTCAATAGCTCGCAGATAGAGAGGGTCGGCTTCGTCGTACTTGCCCTGTGTAGGAAGCAGTGGGGTGGTGTAAGCGACTGGGCGACAGAGAACCAACCTCTCAAAACAAGTGTGAACCCTACGAAAAATCTCGGAAAAATCTCACGGCTCTCACCTGGCTCTCGTAAATAAGATTGTGGAGAAACATTTTCTCAACAACCCCGCCCGGATGTTGAGCCATGTGGCAAGAGCTGGTTGGTCAGGACCGAGCGTTTTCTTTCAAATCTCAATGGCTCGAAGGTACAGAGGCTCTGCCTTAGCATACTTGCCCTGTACTAAAAAAGAGAAGGGAAAGAGAGAAGTTCGATTCTTGACACTGCTGCATGTGCGGTAGCACAAATGCCTGCACGACATCTGGATGCTCCAAGTCCAAAACGTACCCTCGTTGGCTCATTGCCGTTCACACAGTGGCTCTGTCTCGGCACAGTTGCCTTGATGCCGCAAGGATGCGAGAGATGGCACGGTTCGGAGAGATGGCACCGGGCAGCGCAAAACATAGCAAGAACACAAGGGGCCCTTAATGTGGAAACCGTGGAACCCCCGCTCTCCCGGGCCAAGACTGACACGCAGGAAAACCACTATAGGTGGCTCACTTGCAGCAGTCTACTACATGGTAGGATTTACTGTCTCCTTAGTACAACCAATATGCTCTTCATTGTGCGGCCTTTGGTGCCGCATGTAAAAATGCAGACGATAATCTGCACGTGATACCATATTCTTTACCATACAATAGACCCCCCCCGCCCTCGCGACCCTTGACGCGGGTACCCTCTTGGGGGGGGGGGGGGGGGGGGGGGGGGGGG